CCGGCTCCAGGGTTTTGGCCGCCCCAAGCAGCCAAAAAAAAAAAAGCGGGAGTGAGAGACCGTCCGCCGAATTGCCGCCGAATACCTGGACGTGCCACCCCCCTCCGGAGCGGCCGCCCCAAGCATCTGCTTGCCAGGCTGGTGTCTGGAGCCGGCCCTGCTGATTGGGCAAGAAGCCTGGAGGGGGAGCCTGGGGCAAGGAGCTGGGGAGGTGTGCAGGAGACATAGTACTGGGACCGACTGGAGGAGACAGGGCAGAATAGTCAGTGACCATTAGAGCACACTCCCCCCTCCATAATGGAATGGAAGATTTCTGAGTCTCACCATTCCTCTGCTGAAAACAAATATCTGTGAAAACCACTGGCAAAGTATGTGTTTCATGCCTCCCTCTAGTGGCTGGTCCAGCTAGAGGATGACAACCTACTACTGCTATCAGTTTACTCTGTTAGTTCGAATGGCAGAGGTCTGTGCAGTGGATCTAAAGGTCCCAAGTCTGCTGATGACCCATGTGGGTGTTAATATAATTCAGTATGATGGGATTTCAGGGAAGGGGTATCAGTTTGCTATTTTTTTTAAAAAACCTAGGAGATAACGCAGAAAAACTATGTCAAAATACCCTTAAGGTTGCAAAATCAAGCAGTCGAAATTTAGGAAATGCCAGAACTGGATGGTGGGGAGCAGTACATGTGCTATATCTTGATTTTTGTAAGGCTTTTGACACAATCCCACATGACATTCTCATAAGCAAACTAGGGAAAAGTGGTCTAAAAGAAATTACCATAAGGTGGGTGCAAAACTGGTTGAAAACCCACACTCAGGGTAGTGGTTTGCTGTGAAACTGGGAGGGTTCAAATGGGAGCAAGGAGCTCCCACCTTTACAGTCACTTTTCAGAGCAGAGAACTTTAATGCAGAGTGGCTCTTACAGCCAGGTTAACATAAGAGTAAGTGCCAACCTAGAGCACGGTACTGAATTCCAAAGGCAAGACGTCTAGGGAAGCATGTCTAGAGCTATGTTGCTTCAAAGCTAGGCACTGGCTGCACGGGACAGCATAAACGCTTAAAAGCACCAATCTGTGTCCCAATTTTGCAACTGGAGCAGACCCCTGCAATCCACGTGAAGCCCCATTGTCTTTCCTGGGGCTCTCTGTAGGGGCAGGGGTCCTCCCATCTGAACCCAGTTGCAAGACGTGCCTTACACGGTTGTTACACAAGATACCCCAAATCTCCCATCCATATGGTTTGATTTTGCATGGTAAATGAGCTGCATCCCAAGGACACACTAGCAGTCGTGTATCCTCCCTTTTGTGTGCTTGGTTTCCCAGCTCAGTTATCCTGTTTACTTTTTAAAGGGGAGATAAAATGGATTAAGACTTGCTTAAAGACTGCCAAAGAAACATTATCCTGAGGTTCTGGAAAGCCTGGCCTCTACCTATTCAGAGAGAATGCGCTCCTGCCATGGTGGATACTGCAGCTAGGAAAGGGCTGCGTTTATAGCACCATGCAACACTTATGGGTTTCCTGAAACCTGGGAGCCTGCCCAGGACTATACAGAAGCCGAGCAATGCGTCCTGAAACACCTGCACCTCACGGTGAAGCAAATAGCCGCCGGCTTCCCTCTGAATTTCCTTTACTCGTTCAGTTTGGGCCTGATCCAACTTCAGTTAAAACCAATGGAAAGCGTCCAAATTCCCTTCAGCAGTGGATGCAGCAGGCTGTTAATTCCTTCTCCGTTAGCGGTTATAGCAGCGGTTCTCAACCTGCAGCCCACGAGCTGCTTACAGCCCAATCAGCACATAGCTACGGCCTATGTGATATCCTCAGGGCCGTACAGGTACTAAATATTGTGTGGATGCCGTCCACGTAACACGTAGAGAGCTGCATATCCATCCCACAATGGTAAATAGGGTGAGAACCACTGGGTTATAGATTTTGCTATCATCCGTAGTATCCCATGCATATGATTAAAATGGTGGAAATATAGCTAGGTACTGATAGCATCTGGCCCCCTCACCTCCATGGTACCTGAGCAGCAATGCTTGGTAGTGAGGATATCCTCTCTCGCCTCTTATGAAGAGAGATGGACTTTGCCACCTGGCTAAGCGGATTCTTCATGATATTCTGGTATAACTGCCACTCTCTTCTGATAGCCACCACTTCAGTTTTTAAAAACAAAAACGGGCTTGGATAGAAACCTCACATAACACCAAGCCTGGAAGTCCATACAACTGTGCTTCTGTACCCAGACCAAACTATCATGGGTTCCTATAGGTGCAATGAAGGGCTTCCAGCACATACGATGCCCAATTCTGCTTCCAATTACATCTCTGCCACCTCACTCAGTTCAGTCAGCTTGCATACGTGTATACTCAGCCCCAGGCTAATAGGGCTGTGTTTGGACTCACCATTAACCCTTTCCTTAGCACCTCTCCCCATAACATAACATCCTGCTGGGGTAACAGTGACAATAACAGGAAATTATATCATATCTCCTCTGCAAAAGCAGCTGTGAGAATTGCAGACAGAGAAGATACCAACCAAGCATTAGAATCCATCCTGTATCTCCTAGTCAGAGTAATCTCAGATGATGTGGGGTCAGGTGCTCCGACACTCCAGTGATCCAATGACTGTATTACAGTACAAGTTTGATTTTAACCCCCTGGCAACACCCCAGCAGGGGGTGTTAATTCAGGAAGGGAAATCAGAGCTTCGTTACATTGCACTTGGGTCTTTTACAAACCCACTGATTCACAATTAATGTCCACTGTCCAGCCATGGGCCCCAGAGAGCCATGGGCAATAATGCAGAGTACGTTTTGGCCCACATTGGTTTTCTCTCATTATCTCTTTATTTCATTTGATTGCTCCTAAGTGCTCAACTTGCAGGTTCAGGTTTTTCCCCTGATAAAGATAAAGCCTGTTTGGGAATGGAGGAGAGGGGAGGCAGGGAACTCAGCCAATAGCAAAACAGTCTGCAGGCTCCCAAATGGCATCATAATGTAATTTAACTATGACCGGAGGGACAGAAAACAAGCACAGTCTAAAATGCTGACATACAATTTAAAGGTGAGATTCAGCATTGCCATAGAATCATAGAGACACCGAGCTGGAAGGGACCTCAAGAGGTCATCTAGTCCAGGCCCCCATACCGAGGCAAGACTAAGTATACCTCGACCATCCCTGACAGGAGTTTGTCTAACCTTTTCTTAATACCTCCAAAACGGGGATTCCACAACCTCCAACGTTACCTGTTCCAGTGTTTAACTATCCTTAAAATTAGAACGTTTTTCCTAATATCCTAATAAGTTCAGTTCCTCTGGGTCAAACCCTAGGCCCTGTGCCAAGCCTAAGAGAATCCTCAGCATAAGACAGGGTCCCCCATGCTCGTATGGCTGTTACTGTAGCCTCCAGGTTACAGCTGGCTCTGTGGCAGCTGTGCCTATGCCCTACACGGATGCCCCTTAGTCGTGGATCCACTGGTCATGTCCCACCATCAGCACTCCCCTTGCATGGGACTGCAGGGGAAGCTTGTGGAACACAGCTTTGGGTCCCATAGAAGGAGCGGAACCCCTAAAACTGATAGTAAATTTCCACTGTCCAAGAGGGCAGGCTGATTCCTCTACCTATCAGGCCTTCTGGACCCCCAGGGGGATGGTCACTTGAACTGGCACCTCTGTAAGGCCCTTTGACAAAGCCCAGAGTGCATCAGATTGCGACTGGGCAGAGACACAATATCACATTGCAATATTATATAAACTATCGCCAGCTCAGGAAAGATCTACAATCAGGGCCAGCTCTAGGATTTTTGCCTCCTCAAGCAAAAACAATTTTGGCCGTGCCCTTCCCCCCCCCCCGTTTTTTTCTTACCCCACCCCCGGCCCCGCCTCAACTCCATCCCTTCCCCAAATCCCCAGCCCTGCCTCCTCCCCCCAGGCTCTCAAGCCTAGGAGGGAGGGAGGGAGGGGGAGATCCCCAGCGGCCACAGCACGCGAAACAGCTGATTCGCACGCCGCTGCTCCCCCTCCCTCCCAGGCTCTCAAACCCAGGAGGGAGGGGGAGATCCCAAGCGGCCGCGGCGTGCGAATCAGCTGTTTTGCACGCCGCGGCCGCTCGGGATCTCCCTCTCCCTCCCGGGTTTGAGAGCCTGGGAGGGAAGGTGAGCAGCGGCGCGTGAGCGCCAGCAGCGGAGGTGAGTTAGGGCAGCCGGGGCACATTTTTAGGGGCGGCATGGCCCACGCCAGAATGCCGCCCCTAAAAAATGTGCCGCCCCAAGCACCAGCTTGTTTTGCTGGTGCCTAGAGCCGGCCCTGTCTACAATGCTCCCAGGGCCAGATCCTCAGCTGCTGTAAATTGTCATAGCTTCACTGATGTGAAGAAAAAGGGGGGTGGGAAGTAATAAAGTGGATTAATGCTAATGCCACCAGGGCCATTTACACACACTGAGGATAACAGAGGTAGGCCTCAAGTGTCAGGGGGTAGCCTTGTTAGTCTGTATCCACAAAAACAACGAGGAGTCCGGTGGCACCTTAAAGACTAACAGGTTTATTTGAGCATAAGCTTTCGTGGGTAAAAAACCCACTTCTTCAGATGCACGGAGTGAAAATTACCAATGCAGGCATAAATATACTGACACATGAAGAGAAGGGAGTTACCTTACAAGTGGAGAACCAGTGTTGACAGAGCCAATTCAATCAGGGTGGATGTGGTCCACTCCCAATAATTGATGAGGAGGTGTCGATACCAAGAGGGTTTTTTACCCACAAAAGCTTATGCCCAAATAAATCTGTTAGTCTTTAAGGTGCCACTGGAGAGCACCTGTTTACCTTAGCTAAGGATCTGCACTCAATGTCTAAAATATGAGATTCGGTGCCCCCTACAGGCTATAAAACCATCACTGGTCTGGCACAAGACAGGGGCAAATCCTCCACTTTAAGAGCCGAGAGCTCACGCCACAGCCCTTGCTCAGTTCAGCATTTATACGTAGCTCTCCGCTAGTCTCTTACCTGCCGTGATCGTGTCTACGTCCCTCGCAGCCAGCTCCTCCACCTCAGATCTCTTCCGTAGCTCCAAACGCCGGGAGAACCCTTCCTTGGGCTTCCACAGGTCCTGAATCAGAAGGGGCTTCTCATTATCACCGAGGACTCGCAACCCTTCCGTTTGCCACTGCTTCCCAGAGCCGCTGAACATCCCAATGACATCACACAGCACATAGTGGCCGGCGTCCACCTTGCTCAGCCCATAGCGCTCCAGCGCCTCCTTCACCAGCTCCCGCGCACTTGAGCTCCCAGTGGCAAGGACGCTCTTGTAGTTGGTGCCCGCGCAGATGTTGCCCCCAAATATCTTCAGGACCCCAGGGGCTGAAACCTGAGTGGAAAGTTCAGCTGGGTCATCGCTGCTTGCAAGGGGGAAAGCCGACACCGAGCTGCGGTCCTTATAGCTCAGCGTCCGGTACAAGACCTGAGAGAATATCCGGCTCTGACGCTTGAGCTTGTTTTTGGAAGGTGGGGACATGGCGGACGAAGATCCATAGAACATGGCGGGGGAGGTCGTCATGGGACACAGCTGCAGAGTGAACAGAAACAAAAAAGGCAAATCAGCGTTTTAAAGCCCTGTGGGGAAACAGATAATAGCAAGCACATGAGCAGAAACCTTCAAACAAACTGGAGCAGGAGTGACTCCAAGATCCCATGCCTGGACTGTGGCCCAGAGGGGACATGCGGTCATCTCTGGAATGGCAAGAAGAGTGCAGGAATGATGCTGCGAGTTGTGACACAGGACAGCAGGAGCCAAATTCATCCATCATCCCTGAAATCAGTGGAATTACTCCAGAGATGAATTTGTCCCTAGGAATTTGATCTGGTGCATCCTCAGTTTATAGATCAATGGATGTCTCTCCTGGCTACCCAAGCACATGCTTCCCTGCAGATGTTCTCGGGGTGAGAGAAAAGCAGAGCCCAGCAGTTTCGTTACACTAAGAACACAAGAGGAGATTGTGACACGGAGGCTCACTGGTGCCAATTGGCAAAGGGTTTACTGTTCTTTACAACCAACTCCTGTTTTAGACCTGACAAACTCACTACACATAATACACCGCTTTCATGGTATTTATCTATGGAGGGTAGCACGTGTGAAAGCTTTTAATTTATCGATACTCGTAATCATTGTGAGATGTGTATCTGGGTGATATTTAAGGAGTAATGTGAACATTTTGGCCTTATGATCTTGGAGTGAAAGTGAGTCGCCGGGGAACTGTGACATATAATCCCTGGCTAGCCGATCACATAATATATTGCTCAATTGTCCACTGGTGCACCAACCAAGAAAAGTCAATGGAAAACCACAAAAGACAGACTAACCATCAAAACCACTTGGAAGGGGAAAGGAACAGCAAGACAGTGAAGGGATCGCCCTGTCTGTGAATAAAGACAAAAGACTGATGCAGTATATCGCAAGGTGGAGAAAGACACTCTGGATGCATTCATTGAGGAGCGGAGAGTAGCTCCTTGTGGCTAGCAAATGCTGCAGAAGACTGAACTTTGGGGTAAGAATCTTCTTTATTAGACAGGAAAGGTAGCTATTAATAAGCATAGGCCCTAGTTTGCGTTTTATATGCAACCATTTGTTTCCATCACTCACACTTGCTCTATTTGAAACTCTAGTCTTTCCTAAATATACTCCCTTTTCTTTTACTATAATTGAACTCAAGTGCTGAGTGTGATACAGGAGCGGCAGGCTAAGGTAAAACTGGTAAACTGAGGAACACTGTTCTGCTGGGAAGAGAGGATCTGGGGTTTTGGTGGGTATCCAGAGATCGGGGCTGAATACTGCAGGGAGACACTTTGAAGGGAGTCAATGGCTAGGGTGAATCTCTTGTCAACCCTCAGGGCAAAGGCAGGGCTGGTATAGGCCAGAGGACACTGCTTGAGTGGCTGACAAGCTGGTTGTGTTAGGGAGCTAACACCCAGCTGGCAAAGACAAGACTCCCTTGTGCTGGAGGTGGGTGGCAATACTGTGACTCACAGCCCTGCGTGCCCCGAGAAGCATCACAGAGACCTTCTTGGTTAGTAGCCAAGGTCTCAGGAGTTCCATTCACTTACAAGTTATGAATCAATTCAACTTTTAAAGGTGAAATGCAAAGCTCAGGTGAAAATTAAGGTAAGCCTGCAGCTCTCTGCTGAATGCCCCTGCTAACAGGCACTAGAAAAAACAAGTTGTGATTAACCTTTCTAAAAACTTCTCTCCCCTCCACCCCACCAAATCTTCTGGTACTTCCTGGTTCACTAAGGACATTCCAAAGTGCATTATTCTGTAGCATCACTGACACCACTTCCCGATGCAACCAAAGGACAAATGAAATCCTTGTTGTATGAGCTATTCTCCAGTGCTCCCAAACGAGGGCTGCCTGCATTACCAAACCAGGACGCGGTGATGTGTGGCAGACTGGGTGGTACCTCACAGGAAAATTTCTTTGCTGAATGCTTGCCATGGCCAGCTAGGGGAGGAATTTGGCACAGATTTTCTCGGCTTGTCTACGTCTCAGTTTAGATTTTGCAGCTCTACTTTTAAATACAAGATTTATTTTTAAAATCATTCTCACATTAGGACTCGAGTGAGATCTGGAAAGAGACATCTGGCAAGAGAAAAGCATCTTATGCATCTACATCAAGGCTAAGCACAACTACAGCTACATCAAGGCTAAGCACAGCTAGAAATATCCTAAGGTGCTGATCCTAACTTTATGAATCACCCTACAGTAGGTGGACAAATCAGGATCAGTCTCTGGTAGGCCTGCGATGTGAATTTTTCCCCTCCAAGAACCTCTCACCCATTCACATAGACTATTGTTTAAAAATCTGGATACATATTGTTATATAAATTATCAACTTTAAACCAACAGTTGATTTATAACATGATCATTCCTACCAAGCATAGTGTGACTATCCGGATGCGTGAATGGACACACAATTGCAACTGTGAATATGTGAGTTACTGCCGGACACATGCTTCCCTAGATTTAAGAGATTTCAATAAAAGTCCCAACAACACTTTGTAGCTAAATAGCTCAGTGATGCCGAGAGCGAATGTATCAAGGGCAAGCATGGAAGGAACATTTGTTCCACTGGACACAAGGTAGAATTTGGAGTTTTATTTGTCTCCACACTCCTCCTACTTGACCTACACTCTGAGATAACAGCGTGTGACATTACTGCTGGAGAAAAGTGCTGGGCTGACAACCCTGGAAACCGCAGGCATCTCTTTATCCCAAAACAGGTACAGCACAGACAGCATCAGGACAAGCTTCCTCCACCCTACTGCTGTGCATCAAACCTAACAGGAAGGTACCACCTAAGTCTACATCCCCCATTCAGTCCCGGGCCTCTGCTGAGGCTGTCAACAACACCGTCAAGCAGGGCCAGTTGTGATGGCCCTATGGGTTTAATGTGGATACTTGGGGTCTGAGCCCATGAAGCTCATTTTGCTGCAGACACTGAGCAGACATCAGACAGTGACTAAGCGAGGTTGTTACTAGTATCCTGGACTGGCCGTGAAATGGCAGCCTACAGGCGAAAGGTTCTACAGAGCCAATTAGCACTGCTGTTACATTATCACTACTACTTTGCACTCTGGGAGCGCTTTCCATTCAAGGATCTCGTAACCCTCCCTCTGAGGCAGACATCAATCATCATCATTAACCACAGTTAGCATATCTCCTCCACAGATCTCAGAGCACTTCACAAAGATGGCGAGGCCTCATTATCCCTCTTTTATTAATACTGTACTATAGTGGCTCTCAACCTTTCCAGACTACTATACCCCTTTCAGGAGTCTGGTTAGTCTTGCGTACCCCCAAGTTTTACCTCACTTAAAAACTACTTGGCTTACAAAACCAGACATAAAAATACAGAAGTGTCACAGCTCATTATTACTGAAAAATGGCTCACTTTCTCATTTTTACCATATAATTATAAAATAAATCGATTGGAATATAAATATGGTACTTACATTTCAGTGTACAGTACATAGAGCAGTATAAACAAGTCATTGTCTGTATGAAATTTTAGTCTGTACTGACTTCGCAAGTGCTTTTTATGGAGCCTGTTATAAAACTAGGAAAATGTCAAGATGAGTTGATGCACCCCCTGGAAGACCTCCACGTCCCCCCAGAAGTATGTGTACCCCTAGTTGAGAACCACTGTTGTAATAGAGGCAAAGAGATGCCAAGGGACTTACCTAAATTCATACAGTAAATAATCATCAGAGTAGGGTTGAGACTGAGACATGTGCCCGATCGACAGGGCCACTTCGCCTCCTGTGGACGATGCTATTTCTGTCAGGTCTTTCATAATATCCAAGAAGAGCGCTAACGTTATCAGAAAGATCCTCTGTCGGCATTGGACAGACTCCAAACTATCTTCCAGCCCAGGATGGGAAAAGCGCCCTTGCTGCTAATGGAAGAGGTCACCTTCTGGTCTTATTGTTTTTTGTGAGCGGTGGAAACTTCTCCAAGGTATAATCTCTCTGCCTTCTCCCATTCAGTCTGCACAGGTGCACATATCACACCCAGCTCTAGCTTCAGTGGGATCCCCTTTCCCTGCTCCCATACAGCCTTACTGATGCCCCTTCTCATGCCCTGTCCTCCCTTATCACCTTCCCTGTACCGCTCACATCACTAGCCTGCCCCTTACAAGAGCCATTTGTGAACCCAGGGCAAAAGGGGGCAGGGAGGCAGACACCTTTCCCTATTAACTCACAGGCCCCTCCCCATCCCTGCCTGGGGTGAAGTGGATGAGGCAACTGAGGCACAGAAAGATTACATGACTTGTGCAAGGTCAGTGGCTCTAACGCAGAACTAGTGACTCCCAGTCTGCAGCTATAAGCACTGGACCACGCTTTCCTCTCCTGGGTAATATCTCATTTCCAATCCTGAGTCAGACAGTCTCCCCTGAATCTGTAATAGCATTTACCTTTGCAGTGATTCGGCTCAGAAAGAAACAAAGCAAGAAACAGAGAGGAAAAAACCTTGCCCCTTTCCCCTCCTGCTCCAAGGCAGAGAGGTGACCTTCCCTGCTGGAGTAGCAGCAGCATCCAAGAGCAACGGGCTCCCTGAAATGTCTCTCCCTCAGGCAGGCAATTAATAATGGCAAAAACAGATAGATGGTCAAATAAAAAGAGGGTGTCAGTCCCAAAGCACTGAGCAATGGGATTGGTCCACTGCAGTGAGGGAAAGTTCTCCACAGGAATGTGTGCAGCAGAGTATTAGAAAGGGGGTGAATCCCCCACTACACACACACAAACTGATGCTCAGCTCCAGGCCTGGTGTGAACTCAGATGGATTTGTGGACTAAATGTGTGATTACAGCAGCCCCTAACACCACAGCCAAAATCAGGCCCCATCGTGCTAGGCGCTGTACAGATACAGAGTAAAGGACAGTGCCTGCCCCTGAGTTTACAGTCTACATACACACGGCAGAGAAAGGGTTGGAGAAAGGAAGTTTTATCATCCCCATTTTACAGATGAGGAAATAGGGCAGAGAGACATTCAGGGTATGTCAACACTGCAATTAAACACCCGGGGCTGGCCTGTATCAGCTGATTCAGGCTTCTGGGGCTTGGGCTGCGGGGCTGTAAAACTGTGGTGCAGACACTCAGGCTCAGGCTGTAGCCCGGGCTCCGGGACCCTACAGCCCGCGCCTGAACACCTACACCGCAATTCTACAGCCACACCGCCCGAGCCGAGTCAGCTAGCCCGGGCCGGCCGCGGGAGTTTAATTTGCAGTGTCTTGTCAGTTAAAAGAATGCAGTATTTAGCTTGAAAAATATATAATCTTGGGGGCTCTGTTTGCTGTATTTTGCGGTTTGTATTGACTTATCTATGAGGTTCATCACAGCATCTAAGCGCATCAAATGTTAATGAATTTATTCTTCCTACATCCCTTTGAGATAGGGAAATACTATTTTCCTCCATCTCACAAATGGGAAAACTGAGGCACAGGGATTCTTGCCCAAGGCCACACAGGAAGTCTGTGGCAGAGATGGAATTAGAACCCAGAACTCATGAATTATCATGTAGTGCCATAGAAATGTTAAATAATAATAATCCACAAGACCGTTCTTCTTCCCTCGATTTAGAACCTGACCGTCAGTTCTGATTTAAAAACCGAGTTTGGCATTCTCTAGAAAATAACATTTCTCAGGAGCATTGCTGTAGCAACGGGCTCAAGCCATGAGGAGAGTAAATCTCAGGTCATTCAAAAGTGACCCCAACTGGCTGATTGAGGACCAACTCTCACAAGCCCTTAGGATCAGAGATGGTGAGTAATTTTCCAACAACCTTTTTTTTCATTGGGAAGTGTTGATTCATTGAAACTATTTGCAGGAAAGGGCTGGTTACGTAAATCTCCCAGTTTGAACATTATTTGAAGAAAGTTTCAAGACTGTCAAAACATCCCATTTGGGCATTAAAAAAAAGGTTCAATGTATCTACTTGAAATGACTTCTCATTCTGAAATTTTAATTTATACAAAAAAGGTTAAACATTTTTTTAAATGATCAAAATCAAAACAAAACATACTGACTGACCCAAATGCAATTTTTTTTTAATCGGTTCACAAAAATTTGAGATTTTGACTTTTCATTCTGTTTTGGGACAGAAAAAAAAATCTTTAAACGTCAAAAAACCTTGCGGGATGGGGAAATTGTTTCCTGCCCAACTCTACCTAGGAAAGCCCAATCAGTCCTCACTAGCAATAGATTGCTGGAGCATGACAAAGGGATTCTGGAAAAGGACAGAAGAAAAATTGATGCAGTTCTGTGTATGTCTACACTAGATGCTGCAACTGTTCCACTCTAGCACTATAGTGTAGACCCTCTTCTGTCGCTGTAGTAAATCCATCTCCCTGAGAGGCAGTAGCTAAATCAACAGAAGAATTCTTCCGACTTAATGGTGTCAACACTGGGGCTTAGATCAGCTTAACTACATCTCTGATGGGTGTGAATTTTTCACACCCCTGAGTGACGTAGCTAGATAAACCTAACTTTCTAGTGTAGACCTGCCCTAAGAGTCTGCCCAAAAGACTCCACTGACAGATGAGAGTGAGAGAGAGAAAATAACTTTTATGTAAGAATCATTTAGAACAGGGGTCGGCAACGTTTGGCATGCGGCTCGCCAGGGTAAGCACCCTAGCGGGCCGGGCCAGTTTATTTACCTGCTGATGCGGCAGGTTCGGCCGAACGCGGCCCCCACTGACCGCGGGTCACCGTCCTATGCCAATGGCGGCGGCGGGAAGCCGCGTCCAGCACATCCCTTGCCCGCGCCGCTTCTCGCCGCCCCCATTGGCCCAGGACGGCAAACCACGGCCAGGGTGGGCCATGATCGGCCAAACCTGCCGCGTCAGTAGATAAATAAACTGGCCCGGCCCGCTAGGGTGCTTATCCTGGCGAGCCGCGTGCCAAACGTTGCCGACCCCTGATTTAGAACATGCAGATAGCTGTGTATTTTCCCAGCTAATCTCATCAGTGCAAAACTACCTACAGCACCTATACAACTTCATAACACTTCCAACTGCAGAAAGCATTCCTTCAAGCCCCAAACTTAGGCAGCTAAAACCATATGTGCTTTTTAAAGTGCCCATCTGAATTTTAACTACATTGTTTATAGCGCAGCAACTTTTGTGTTCTTTTTGTAGAACGCCCTATGCAAACTCAGCTTCTCTAGTTCCAGAGGCCAAAAACTTCAGAGCAAAATGTGTTTCATCCATACAAATAGGGCCGGCTCCAGGCACCAGCTTGCCAAGTAGGTGCTTGGGGCGGCCACTCTGGAGAGGGGCGGCACGTCCAACTATTCGGCGGCAATTCGGCGGACGGTCCCCCACTCCCGCTCAGAGCAAAGGACCTCCCGCCGAATTGCCACCGCAGATCGCGATCGCAGCTTTTTTTTTTTTTTTTGCGCCGCTTGGGGCGGCAAAAACCCTGCATACAAAGAGGCTCCGAGCATGGTCATTTCACTGTTGTGCTGGTAGTGCAGGAAAGGCTCCAGTTTGCAATGTGCTGAGAACTCAGAGCCCTTATTGACTTTAAATGGAGTGATGGGTGTTCAGCCCATCCAAAAATCATGGCTTTCTGCAAAATACAAAATAAGATATGGTCTTATTTCCATCCGAGCGCCTAAGGCACAACATAGAGTGATAATGAAACATGTTCTTTCCAGACTTCTATGCTCATGGGCATCTTATAAGAAACTAAAATAGAGAAGAGTAGAACAAACACCGGGGCTAGCTTTCAACTAAGATCATCTCAGCTCATATTACCCGTGTCAAAGTAACTCCAGGTCTACCAAGTCATTTGGGGGAGAAAATGTTCAAAACCACCTAAGCAATTTAGGCACACAAGCCTTACGGAGAGTCACTAGGACTTGTGCACCTAAATGCCTCATGCACCTAAATCCCCCAAATCTCCTCCTTGGTGCTTACAGGACAGTTCCTCTATTAGGCTATTATAAAACATGCCTGTTTGAGGACAAAAAGCTTGCAGCAGAGGTAGGCAGCTCCAGACATTCCAAACATTTGCCATATGCAAAAGTAGAAAGCAAGATTTTATTTTATTTATTTATTTGGCATTTACTGTTGAAAACTATAAAGGAATCAGCCAGCGGTTTGTTTTTTCCTCTCAGCGGAATCTGTATCGAGTATCTAGGCCTCTCTTTGCATGTCATGGAACACACAGACTGGCCACACCAACAATGGCTATTCGTGATGCCATTATTTATTCTGCACTGTTATGGTAATGATCACAACAAATGAATGTGATGTTCATGTGGTCAACACATGTCCTCCCTTCTGAGCACTGCACTGCAATTTATCATTAGCGGGTCAATGGTGTTGTAAATAAAACACCACAAAATCTAATAGTCATTTAGGTTTGTTGGGGTATAATTTCAACATCCCCAAATCAGCTGGGCAGCTCTTGTTAGTACCAAAGACAGTCATATGGACAGTTTCCTATGGCTGAGTGGAATCCCTACTCCCCCATTGTCTCAGCCCTCAGTAACTTTAAACATTAGCAGCCGGTCCCAAATGTTCCAGCTAAGTGCCTCCTGATGCCTATTTAAAAACCTTTACTTACCTTGCCATTCTTTTCACATCTCTTTCTTTCAGTCACTTACTCTCCTCTTCATGGCAAACCCTGCAGCTTCCCCTGCATTATTCATTTTCACAGAAACTTGGTCCTCCAACTTCTGAAACGGGACAGGAAAATAGAGAACATCATTTCACTTTCACCCCAGTTACAAAGATCTGCAAGAGCCATTCAATTATATCCTCTGAAGTCCTCCAGCGATGGTGCGATGTGATGGCTTATGTGTGTATAAGAGCCACAGGTCTGCTCTACTGAAATATATCAGCGGCTAGTGGATATAACAGCACCCCCTGGTGGAGCTGTTCTTTTATCTTTGGCGCAGGGGCTAAAGTACAGCTCTACTGTACTTAATAAAGATATCCCATCTCCTAGAACTGGAAGGGACCTTGAAAGGTCATCAAGTCCAGCCCCCTGCCTTCACCAGCAGGACCAAGTACTGATTTTGCCCCAGATCCCCAAGTGTCCCCCACAAGGATTGAACTCACAACCCTGGGTTTAGCAGGCCAATGCTCAAACCACTGAGCTATCCCTCCTCTCACAGGTACCCTCATATTTAGTATCCAGCTACTCTTCTCCAGCTTGATCCAAGTAGGCAGAGCATGGCATGCTGGGGCCTGTAGTCTCCATGGGCTAAACCTGCAGATGAAGGTGGCCCATGAGCTGATGGGTAGATGGTGAGCGGGCGACTGATATGGCTGTACACTTGCTTGTCCAACCATGACCCACCAAGGCACCTACACTCCACAAGGGTGCTGCAGCTGGATTGGCTGAGAGTCTGATACCAAGGCCTTTCTCAGCAGTGTGATCTCCTTAGCAGGGTAAGCCGGACTGAGACAGAGCCCGATCACGTTCAAGTCTAAATGTAAGACCGACTTCTCTAACAAAGCCTTGTCCAGTTAGCAGAGTCTACCCCAAAGGCACAAAGAGTGAGGAAGGGGGAGAGAAAGGCAAGGCAAGAAGGAAGCATTATACGAGAGGAAGGAAGGGAAGGTGAGAAAAAGGGAATGAGGGGAGATGGAAAGCACAGAGCCCTCTTTGGGCAGGCTCACTGCTATCTTTAGTTGATGGCTGTTGCTTAGATACTGTGATGACATGTGCCTTCACAATACCTGAGAGAAACAGATCTGCGGACACATTCTTAGATTAATTACAAGGGATGCTATCCCCTTTTGGGATCACAGACCACTACAACCAGATCTAGCAGCTCACTCAAAATCCCAGCAGCACTACTCCAAGATCATAAGGGGACAAAGTTGGAACAAGACTTCGAGAGAGTGCAGGGTCAGGAAGGAGCACATTTCCTTCAGCTCTTCCCTTTTTAGCCTATAAAAAAACATGCCAGGCACAACAGGTAGAGAGAGTTAAATACGCCAGTGGGTATAGCTAACAGATCAGCCCAAATTGGGCTGCCCAATAGTTCCTCAAAGGTGCTACACTGCCCAGAGAAAAGCAAGAAGCCCAGGAATTCCCCGTGGGGAGCGCGACTTATTTTTGACCCTCTCAAAGATTTTCTTCCTCGGCTTGTTATATTTTGCTGTGTCTTTCTATATTAAGGAGAGCTTTTCCCATCAGCGTAGTTAAACCACCTCCACGAGAGGCAGAAGCTATGTTGATGGGAGAAGTCCTCCTGCCGACATAGTGCTGCCTACACTGGGGGTTAGGTCAGTGTAAGTACGTCACTCAGGGGTGTGGATTTTTCACACCCCTGAGCAACATAGTTATACTGCTATAAGTCTGTGGTGGAGACCTGGCCTTAGAAAGAGGTAGTCAGTGCCGAGACATAATCTTTGTCATAGATTCACAGAGTTTAAGACCAAAAGGGGCCATTAAACCATCTAGTCTGACCTCCTGTATCTCACAGGCTATTAGATTTGACCCAGTTATCCCTGTACACAGCCCAGTAACTCATGTTTGGCTAAAGCACATCTTCCAGAAATGCAGCCATTCTTAATCTGAAGACATCAGAGATGGGAATCCCTGACTTCCCTTGGTAGCTTATTCCAATGGTTTATCATCCCCCGCTGTTAAAAATGTGTGCCTTATTTCCCATTTGAATTTGTCTAGCTTCAGCTTCCAGTCATTGGTTCATGTTATGCCTTTTTCTATTTGAATAAAGAACTCTCTAGTATCCTGTATTTTCTCCCCAAGAAGGAACACGTACACTGCAATCAAGTCATCTTTCAGTCTTCTTTTTGATAAAATGACCAGACTGAGCTCTTCCAGTCTCTCACCGGAAAACATTTTCTCCAGCTTCCAAATCATTTTTGTGGCTTTTTTCCCTGCATTCTCTCCAATTTTTCAACACCCTTTTTAAAACGCAACACCAGAACTCTACACAGTATTCCAGTACTGGTCTCACCAAGGCTGTGTACAGAGTTAAAACCCACTCCTGACTTCTACTCACTACTCCCATTTATACATCCAAGGATCGCATTAACCATTTGTGCCACAGCATCGCACTGAGAGCTCACAGTCATTTGCTTGTCCACAGACCCCTAAATCCTTTTCAGAATCACTGCCTTCCAGAATACAGTCTCCCATTCTGTAGGGATTGCCTGCCTTCCTTGTTTCTACATGTATAACTCTGCATTTGGCTATATTAAAATATATTTTACTTGAATGGGCCCAGTTCACTAAGCAATCCAGATTGTTCTGTAGGCCTGGCCGCTCATTGCTATTTATCACTTTGCCAATCTTTGTCTTAGCCGCAAATTTTATAAGCCGTGATTTTATATTTATTTCCAGATCATTGATGCAAGTACTGGCTAGCCTCAAGTCCTGAAGGGGCTGCAAAACCCCTCTAGAAATACAATGATGATCCCCTTCTGACAACTACTTTTCGAAAGCTGTCAGTCAGCCAGTTCTTAATCCATTTAATGTGTGCTTTATTGATACTATATAGTGCTAATTTATTACTCTGTATGTTGTGCAGTAGTAAGTCAAATGCCTTACAAAAGGGTAAGTATATGACATCTATGCAGTTATCTTTATCAACCAAACTTGTAATCTCCTCGCAGAATGAAGGTTTATTTGACAAGAACTATTTTCCATGAAACAATGTTGACTGGCATTAATTATATTCCTATCATTTAATTCTTTATCAATTGCAAGCCATATCAGCTTTTCCATTATTTTGCCTGGGATTGATGGCAGACTGATCAGCCTACGGTTACCTGGGTCATTCCGTTTGCCCTTTTTGAATACTGGCACAACATTAGCACTCTTCCAAGCTTCTTGAATTTCCCCTGTGTTTATCCCAGAGCATGCAGGTTACACACAACAATGGGAAGGTGGCTGTGCTTGCCTATTGCACATGCATGTGTGCTGCTTATTTCAGATTTAACTGTCCAAGAAATACAACCAGTGAGGCTATTTATCTCAGGTCCCTTTTTGCAGAATTTCCTTTTTTAAATGGAAACCAGAGTCGCAGCCTCAGACAGAAAGCAGCAAAGACACCGTGGGCGGATTGAGGGCTGGCTCCAACACTACAATGTGGAACAAATTATAACTCCAAAGGCAAAGGAAATGAGAAGATTGTGGACCCAGAGACTTAGACTTACATCCCTTAACTATTAAATCCTGACCCTCTACAGATCCAAGACCAACGTAAAGTGAGCTCATGCAGACCGTTTGCTTTGGTGAGGTGTCCCCTGGCCCCACCTTCACCCTGTATAATGGGGATGGGAGTGAAATTGAAGAAAATAAAAGGCATCACTCAAACTGACTCTGTGATTAACTTCCTGTAGGGTGAGGGATTTTGAGTCTATGGTGGCAAATGGGAAAGCTGAGTGAAATGAGAAAGGTTGGACTAGTCAGTGGTTTCTCCAGATGTCCAGATGTCAGATGGAAAATTCTTTTGCTTATTCAGAATAAGGGAACATCTAGTACGGTGATAAAGACTTGAAGAGAAAACATGAAGACTCACAGGTTTGAGACTCAGCTGCCAGTGCCTAACTGGAAGATTTCACATTCAATGCACAGGGACTGCAGAGACACCTCTGGAAATGCCTTTGTAGTGATGAAAGCAGCCCTCTCCTCTCTCCAGGGTGTTACTATCAAGTCTGCCATTTAGAGACTGATAGTTAATCAAGTGTGTTGCATCTGTCATATTTAGGGCCTGATCCAACTCCCAGTGAAGTGAACAGGAGTCTTGCCATTGACTTCAGCCAAAGTTGGATTGGGCATTAAACTCCTCAAAGCATTATTAATTATTACTATTATTATTAATTTGTATTTCAGCAGCACCTAGGCATCCGAGGCATGGGCAAATGCCTCATTGGGATCCAGGAAGTGGGCGTTGTAAAACCACAGAACAAAATGATGGTTCCTTGCCCAGAAGAGCTCACAGGAACCATGTCTTACTACAAGTTTGTCAACTGCTATCTACAGCTATGGCACTACTTGAACAGATGATAAGACTCGAGGGCCTGATCCTACAAATTGCAGAGCATGTTCTACTCCTGCCGAAGTCAATAGGGGTCTTAATATGAATCTTTTAAAAACGAGTTTTGCTCGGCCCCATATACGCACTGGCCCTGCAGTAATGCCCATGTACAAATGACAATCCTCTGAGCTGTGTACTTTATGCAGGAACTGTATTTTAAAGTGTGTGTTTGCTTTCTGCTCGCTTTCAAGCATCTGAATCTCAGTGGACTCTCTAATTAGGAGTTCTTAATTATCACTGGAAAAATTATGAACTGATCCTGTACAGTGCTGGAAATAGGCAATCCCAGAGCAACTGACTAACTCCCCTGCATTTTCTTCATGATTTACTGAAGTTACTTAAACTCCAAAAGAAATTGCTCTGCTCTCCCGTGGGCAATTGTATTGCAAACATTTTCCTGCTAAAGCCAGACATTCTGGGACGGTCGAGAGCCTGAAAGTGGGTGAAATGGGTTGTTTAGGGGGGAAGGGAGTGAAAAAGCAGCAGGATCCCCCCCACCAAACCATCAGGTTTGCTTCTTTACAGTCTGGTGTTATTTGCAAGGCAGGTTTGGTCTCCCATGGCAACCAGACAAGCCTCAACTCTCGCTCTCTGGCTTCACTTTCTAAGGGAAGGAAAACAAATATTCCAGCTTCTGGGACCAGCCTCCCTGCATTCGCGGTGCCTCTGTGCGGGTTTGCTGGGACCCTTCTCAGGGAGGGCGGGTCGCTGCAACCCAGTGTGACATTGTGTCCATCCCAATGCCTGCGTGTCTCCTTGGCTCTCGCTCTAGATCCTTGTTGGTGTCTCTCTCCGCGGGTGTTTGCGTCTCTCTCAATGCCGGTCAGCCTGTCAGTCTGTCTCTCCGGGGTCCGTGGGCCAGGCTGCCTCGCAAGTGTGTGTGCCCGCATGTCTGTCTGTCCCCCGCTGGCTGCTTGCCCCCAGCCCTAGGGGAGCCGTGCTGCCAGCCCGGGGGGGGGGTGTCTCCTGTCTCCCTCGCCCCCCTTTTTCTGTCTCTGGCTCCTCAACTTGAAGCCACTTTAGTGGGTCACCCCCACCCCCGCTCAGCCTGCCCCGGGCTCTCCCCTGCCCTTGCCCGGGGCACTCTGCAGGCTCCGCACCCCCCGAGTCGTTACTCACCGTCCCTGGCCGAGGGGCTCCGCTCGTCGGGCGCCTCTTCCCTGCCGCGGCTCCCCGCCCCGGCCAGCCCGGCTGCAGAGGGCAGGAGCCGGCGCTAGCCGAGCCCCGCCGAGCCCGGAGCGCTCACGTCCCGCCAGCCGGGGCGGAGATGGCAGTGGAGAGGAGGCGGCTCCGCGGCTCCAGGGCGCCACCTTCGGGATCCTCAGCGCGACGGGCCCGGGGGCCGCGGGGCGAGCTCGGCGGGTCCCGGGGGCACCCGCCCAGCCCTAGGCCCGGCCCGGGAATCGGACCGGCCCCGCTGTCAGACCCGCGCGGGGAAGGGGCTAAGGAGGCACCGAGCAGCCTCCTGGCCCGAGCCTCTGCCTCCGGTGTCTGCTGAACAGCTGCCGCCTTCCGCCCCAGAGGTGGCTGCATGTCCGTGGTGGGTGACTGAGCCCCCCTGCATCCCTTACCTGCCTCGTGGGCTGTCGTGAGAGATATTATGCGTTTGGATCAGGGCCCAAGGACTGGCCATTAGGTGTCCTACAAACACATGGCAAAAAGGTGGCCCTTCCCAAAGAGTTTACACTAGACCACTCATTATCATAGCGCTGTGATCCTGGGGTGGCAGGCACCGCAAGAGAGGAAATATTACTGAGAGTTATTATTTGCCCGGGGCGGAAAACGTGCTCGGAGCTGCACAAGACATAAACATTATTGTCCTCACCTTTGTCCTTCTAAATGGCCTGATAGCTGTCAGAGGCCACTTCCCTTCCCCTTTGTATTATGGTCACGCCTGTAGGCTCTAACTAAGATCAGGCCCTGAGCAAACACCTCACATAGCAAGAGATAGTCCCTGTCCCATAAAGTTCACAATCTAAATAGACAAAGATAAACGAAGGGTGGGAGGGAAATAAGGCCTTGACTGTATTGCACTGGTTTAGCTGAACTGATTTGGTTAAATGGATTTCATTAAACTACTGCGAAGCTCCGTTTGGATACTCTCCGTTTGGTTTAAAAGTGGCCTATTTCAGATTGTTTGTTAACGTAAGTCAATAACTAAATCAATAGCCGATTCTTAACCAAATGACTCGGTTCTGCCTTTGAAAATCTCCCCTGTAATTGGGTTTTGAACAGCAGCTCTGGATAAAGTGGTCTTAATGAAGATGAGCGTAAGGGGGGGCTAGAAAGACTCCCTCCAAATCAAATAGTTTTCTGTCTCTAACCCAGAAGGGTTTGCTTTGTGGGGAAGTCCCCCCAAAAATGTAAAGGGTGTCAGAGCCTGTGTCTTTTCTGGTGCATTGCAACCAAACCTCCCAGTGCGCTGTGGCCCAAGATCTGGAATATGATGTGGAAGAAATGAAATATGATAGCACAGGAATCTGTAAACAGCATGAGATTAGTTTCTATATCCTAATTTTCTCTGCTCTCAGTCCCATGATTCAGCATTCCTGGTGTCATTAACTTACAATAAGCAAAGTGCAAGGAGACCAGGCTTGTGTGGGATGGAGAGAGATATGGTTCTGGAAATGAGGGCATCTGTGTAACAGCTGTGAGAAGCGAGCAAAGCCAGGTGGGTAGATCTCCCTGCCTACCCATCTCCTTCTGGGATGAATCCCCACCAGGACAAGAGATAAAGTGGACAGGAGGAAGTACTTCTGAGCATATGCACAATGTGCCTCAGGTGGCATGTGACCAGAATTCATCACCGAATTTGGTCCTCTGGTTGGATCATTAGCTTCCCCGGCTTGGGCTGGGTGCTGACAGGGAGTGCGACATGAACACTGATCCATGCCCCCTGAGGAAGTACTGACACACCTGTTTGGATCTTGGATTTCTAAGCACACTTGTTATCGGCAGTCTCATGATTAAGATCAGAAGTGCAAAAAGGTATGGAGAAAGTGAATATTTTACCCTTTCATATAACACAAGAACTAGGCATCACCCGATGAAATGAATAGGCAGCTGGTTTAAAACAAACATAGGTTGTTTTAAGTATTTCTTCACACAACGCCCTGTCAACCTGTGGAACCTGTGGATGTTGTGAAGGCCAAAACTAGGAGTTGAAAAAAAGCATTAGATAAGTTCATGGAGGATAGGTCCATCAATGGCTATTAGCCAGGATGGGCAGGACACAAGCCCATGCTCCAGATGTCCCTAAACCTCCAACTGCCAGAAGCTAGGACTGGGCAACAAGATGGATCACTCTCAATTGCCCTGTTCTGTTCAGTATCAGAGGGGTAGCCGTGTTAGTCTGAATCTGTAAAAAGCAACAGAGGGTCCTATGGCACCTTTAAGACTAACAGAAGTATTGGGAGCATAAGCTTTCGTGGGTAAGAACCGTTCATTCCCTCTGAAGCATCTGGCATTGGCCACTGTCAGAAGACAGGATACTGGGCTAGATGGACCATTGTCCTGACCCATTATGGCCGTTCTTATGACCATTGCTGAGAGCCATCAAGACTGCAATCTAGGGCCACCAACTAATGGTCCATCTCCATGGAACAAAGGCCTTTCTACACAGGAGCTGGCAAGGGAGAGGAACAAATGTGACTGGCTGGACTGGGAGTGTGAACACACGGCACTGAGCTACGGGCTCTGTTTTAGAGCTCTGTGCAAGGGGTCCTGACCATTGGCACACATAAGAAGGCAGTACAGGAGAGACTTTGCCCCGCCTGCAGTTCTGACGAACTACACACTCACTGAAGGGGTGAGCTCAGCCGGGGGAGAATGTCTCTCAGGACTTCAATTATTTTCAATTATCTGCAACTTGAGTGCTTTTAATGGCAAAGTCACTGTGGTTAAGAAATTCCTTCGCTAAGCCTGTGTTCTTTGCTTGCTTGCCAGGGTTTCTCTGAAGGAATTAAATGAGTGTCCACACCCTGTGTAGAGCTCCGAGGGAGTGCATGAGACTGGGAAGACCTAGAAGGTCTCAGACATTGGTTTGAGGGTCTAGGGAGTTAGTGTCCAATGTCCCAAGGAAGGATGCAAGACGAAAGGGCTGGGCCCAGAATGCCTAGCGTTCCAGAGCTAGAAACAGTGATGAAACTACCCAGAACCAGCAGACTCAGAATTATATGGGACCCAGCAATTGGGTCCACTTGCACAGACTGGTGACCATACAGAGGGGTACTGGGCCAGTTTATAACTAAAGCTGTTAAGGAAATATGCTCAGTAGATAATGTTTTCACCCCTCAGCTCATAGAGAGTATTACAGCGCATCCTTATCACACGTACCACTAGAATGCCCACACACCTCTCAACATAAACAGCCACACATGTCCCAGCATCGCTGCATGAGAGATGAGGGATGCAGTTAACAGATAAACCGCATGGCCCAAGCACTCCAGCAGTCTGTAGGCAGCAGCAGAACTCAGAATGAATTTTTGAGCTAGAGTCAGATTTTGATCTCAGTTATTCTGGTGTAAATCCAGAATGATGCAAGTCAAAGGAATCCCTGAGGAGTTACACCGATGGAACTGAGCTCCGTCAGACTCTGGCCTCTCATGCGAGCTGATAGCATTTTCAGTAGCAAGTATGCAAAGCTGGGGAAGTGAGAAGCCAGAATGGCTGAGGGGTGTAACTGCTATATACGTCCCAGCGGCTTGTGCTGCTGATCTGTGTATTGACTCACAAAGAGATGATGTAGGTGCAGTTAGAAATAGGGTGACCAGACAGCAAGTGTGAAAAATCGGGACGGGGGTGGGGGGTAAAAGGAGTCTATATAAGAAAAAGACCCAAAAATCGGGACTGTCCCTATGAAATCGGGACATCTGGTCACCCTAGTTAGAAACTAGGGACCGAATCCTGCTCCCACGGAAGCCAACGAGGGTCTTGTGTCTCCTGTTTTGAATCCCGTACAGTCTGATCGTTACTGGCTCTGAGGCGCCCTTTACAGATCACACTTGGTTTCCTGTTTCATCATGTCACCAGCCTCTGCTGAGTTCCACCCACTACATTTGACACAAGTGAAAGGAGGAAGACTAAAAATAACAGGCCAACAAGGTGTTTGGAAATGAAGCCACTGTGGGGACTTTCTTCCTTTTCTCCTGGATTCACCCAAGGTTCTGAATACCCTTCACCCAGAGCTTCTTGGGGAAAAGCTGCATATTGAGACATTGTAGGTGGGCGTCTCTGTAAACCGGTGGAACAAGTCCACAAAAAAGACAGGAACAACCATCAAATTCTTTGCCTCCAGGGAAACTTCCCATCTTGGAGTTCAATCCAGGCCCATAACCCTGGTGCGGAGCCCAAGCTCTCCAGCAGCATTCTTCTTCTCACCAGAATTCCCCCCGGGGCAATTTATAGTCCTTCTCTCATGGTAAAAGCGGACATTAAATTAACCCCTTGTTTCCCAGAGACCAAATAGCATCTCTGCCCCATCAGACCCTCTTATAGTGAAGCCATTCCCCACCCCACCACCTCTTGACCTGCTTTGCTCTAAGCCATCATTTACTCAGACCCATTGGCACTCTTGTTCCATTCACAGCAAATGGAGCTTCACTATAACTTAGTTCCCCACGTGTAGCTCATCACAGGACCAGCTCTTAAGTATCTTCCACTGCCTATCACTCTGGTGAGTCTTTATTTGCTTTGGACTATGTTCTATAATCAGTTGTGTACTGAAAAAGAATATGACTTAATGCTGGCCAGACAACAATGTTGCATTGGACTGGTGATTACAATGCAATGGGTATAATATGATTTCATGTCAGCCCCGTAACGATGGTGCATTGGGCTGCCTATGTTACATCTTGGCTTGCCAATTCTCCTCTCCTCATTTCTCGGTGATCCTATTTGGGGAGAGTAGGAGATCAGATTGCTGAGTGTGGTTTTGTTGTTGGTGTTGGTTTGTTTAAGATCCTCCAAGAAAACTCATTTTGACTTAACAAACACACTGGAGAAAAAGCAGGCACTAATGAGGTATCTTGAGTCTTTATTTAAATCCTACTCCACAAGAAATGATGTTCTCTAGCATTATCATTATATTTTTTATTAAATACTGTGTTAAATATAAAATACTGATTCACAAGAATGGATGGCATAAAATACAAGACACTAAAAAAAAATCACTCTACAAATCTCATTCACTGACATCCTAAATGTTACAAGTCATTAAAAGTTAGTATCAAAGGTTATGACAATCAGATAATCCCTGGTTATACAATAGAAAGGACTTATAAAGCACAAGAAGATCTGGAACTTGACAGTAATGAAGCCTTCTGCTCGGCAAATCCTGCACTGTGTGAATGAGATCTGAAGCCAGAGCAGATATTCAGAGGCACAATGGGAGTTAAACTTTCACCTCCCATTGACAAGCCATGGGAACTGGGCAAACAACTCTCATTTCTGCCTTTGAAAATCTCCCCCTTGATTTGGCTTTAAGCAGGAGCTCTGGCTAAAGTGGTCTTAATGAAGATGGGCATAAGGGGGACTAGAAAGACCGCCTTCAAATCAAATAGTTTGCTGTCTCGAGGCCACTCTAACCCACAAGGGTTTGCTTTGTGGGGAAGTCCTCTCCAAAACGTCAAGGGATGGCAGAGACGGCATCTGGTCTGGTGTATTGCAACCAAACCTCTCAACGTGCTGTGGCCCAAGATCTGGGATATAATATGGAAGAAATGAAATATGATAGCACAGGAATCTGTAAACAGCATGAGATTAGTTTCTATATCCTAATTTTCTGTGCCTTCGGTCCCATGATTCAGCATTCCTGGTGTCATTAACTTACAATAACCAAAGTGCGAGGAGACCAGGCCTGTGTGAGACAGAGGAAGAGATGGTTCTGGACATGAGGGCATCTGTGAGACAGCTGTGAGAAGAGAGCAAAGTCAGGTGGGTAGATCTCTCCACCCGCCCACCTCCTATAGGGATGAAGCCCCACCAGGACAAGGAGATAAAGTGGAGTGTTTTGCATAGGAGGTGGGGGGCTAGGTAGGAGGAAATGCTGCCGCACCTGTTTGGACCTTGGATTTCTGAGCACACGTGTTATAGGCAGTGTGACCATTAAGACCAGAAGTGCAAAAATAAAGACAGCAGGTACTAAAGTGGCAGAACCATTTCTTAATTGCTGCTCCCAGCTGTGGTCATCTTTTCCTTTGTTTATTTACTGCTCAAGTTTTGGTGCCTCATTGGTCACTTTGTGGCCTTCGTTACTATGGGATATTTGCCCAGCAGAGGAAATCACGTTTCAGGTTCTCTACCGTACACATCTGCCCTATGGAACTCTCTCCCTGTGACACTGAGTCAATGAAAGTGAAGGAGGAAAGTAGCTGTAGGCTGGAGCTGCTCTCATTCTGATGTGACTCTGAAACTCAACTCTAGATCTGTTAAGCAGCCACCTGGTTCAAGGTGAAGTGGGTCTCCTTCAGAATCAAGTACGTAGCACTTATGCAGCGCTGGACAATCTCAAAGTGCTTTACAAACATCAGTTCATCAGCCCCGTGAGGTAGGTCAGTATCATTATCCCCATTTGACAGCTAGGGAAATTGAGGCACAGAATGTTTAAGTGACTTGCCCAATGTCAACCAGCAAGACAGTGGCAGAGGTGAGGATAGAACCCAGGAAGTCCTGCCTCCCAGTTCTGTGCTCAGGCCACACCTCCTTCTATCATAACCAGGAAATGGTCCCAAACAACCACCTGTTCACTTTACACAGGGTTTATTTTCCTTACCAGCTGGTAAGGATTAAGAGCAGCCACAGGGTAAGAACCACGGAAGCAGGGGAAGGGGCACAGAAAGGCGCAGAGAGGAAACAGCCATACAGATTCCTATTTCAAACACCCTTCTGAGCTGAGATGGGCTCAACCCAGGGCAGTTCAGCCCCCAAAGTCTGGGTCTGGGACTCTGGATTGGGCCCCTCTCTTCTACTGAGGCTATTGGACATTTAGATCTCAGTTTTGGAAAGGGGGGGGGTCCCACTTGTACATGGAGCATTGCCACAGAGAGCTGCTAAGGAGAGTTCAGGCAGAGGGGATAGTAACTGGAGCTACACCACTGGAAACATCCCCTTTCTCCAGTGAGATGGTCCCGTGACAGACAGCCCACCCAGCTGCCTCTCCAGCTCCCTGGGGGCGATGCACGGCGGAACCAATTTCTCTGCCTGAGGTTTCCTTCAGTTCCTAAACACGTGGGAGTTTGGCAGTGGAATAGCTCCTTGACGATAAGGGGGCAAATTCCGCTCTCTTTCCCCCAGTGCAGCCCTGTTGATTTCAACAGTGCGACTGGGGGCCACCTTTGGCTCATGGTTTCCTTGAAGTGATCTCTTTCCCCTAGTGGGTAAGGCACTTGGATTCGCTCAGGTTTCTTGGGTTGTTGGAATCTGTCTGTGGCTACTAAGATATGGCTACTAAGATACTTTAAGTGTTACCGGATTCCCGCCCCTAATAACATCCCCTGTCCCTTGCATTCCCAGTCCAACCTCAGTGTGGGAGAACCTCAGCTCTCCCCTGCTGGGCTGCAGCAGAACCCACCCATAGGTGCTGGAATTAGTGGTGCTGCTGTCACACCCCCTGGCTTGAAGTGGTTTCCAGCTTATACAGGATTTACAGTTTGGTTCAATGGCTCTCAGCACCCCCACTATACAAATTGTTCCAGTACCCCTGGACCCATCTCTGCACTGGGGAGTCACATGCTCACTGCCTGCCCTGCATCTGCCTGACTCCAACTCCACCCAGCCCGATTGCTCTGTGAAGAGGACAGGGACTTGGGCAGCCACATAGGCCTTGCTAGGAACACAGGGCTTCTCCCCTCTGGACATGCGACAGGATAGACCTTCTGCACTTGCAGACTCCAGGCAGCTTAGCTAAGAGGCTGTACAAATGACAGAGGAAAGCCACACGCACAAATATGTAGGCGCTCACACAAGCAACAGGGGAAAGAGAGCACTGGTGCCCTAACCAATGGATGTGTGAATACATGCAGGGGAGCTCCTGGTCGGGACATGTTTATCCAGCAATGCCACTTCCATATTTTCCTTATCAAAGCATAAACCTCTTGAACCAGAAACTTACAAGTGAAACCCCTCAGCATTTCAAGAGGGGGCAAATTTAACCAGGCACTTTCTAGACCTCTCTTTGGGGAATGACAATACACAGCAGGGCTTGTCCATTAGGGCCCAATCCTGCAAGTGTCCTCAGCTCCCATCCAGGTCAATGAGAGTTGAGGGCACTCAGCACCCACAGCGTCAGGCCCTTGGAAGTGTGTGGGATGGAAAACAGTGGCTGCACTCCTACAAAACATCCCAAATCTTGTCAAACAAATGATGCTGCAGTTCCGATTAACCCGGGGGATTAGCAGGGAAATCAGTCAGTTCAGAGGCTTTCCAGCTCTGCCTTTGAATTTGAGGGTAGGGCTAAAAAGGGAGGAATTCTTTCAGGCAATATCCCTTATGGGGAAAGAGTGACGTGTTAATACACAAGGCCACACGTTGGTCCCCTTCTTGTGCACATGCAAATTGGCACTTGCAAATAGGGTAACTGTGCGCTTAAGACAGTTTTGCACCCTCTACTGGGTGGGCATACAAATTCTCCATGCCAGCTTGGCCCACAGTAACAATAAGGATTGCATCGTCCTTTGGAAGAGGGGTCACGTTTGATTTTTCTGAGCGTTGCTGAGTTGCAATGCTTCTTCCGTAACATAATCATACGGTGCACGTCTATAGTGCCTGCATCCAAGGATCTCACAGTGCTTTCCAACAACCCTGCATGGCAGGTAAATATCATCCCAGTTATACAGATGGACAAACTGAGGCACAAAGAGATTAAGTGACTTGCCCAAGGTCATACTGTGTGTCAATGACAGCCAGGAGTCCTGACTCCCAGTCCCTTTGGTAACTACAAGACAACAGTGCCTCTGTTCTGAATGTACTAAATTTATCTCCTATGGAGAAAAATACCCTGACCCTGGCAGTAGGATCAGCTTGGATGCAGAGACACTTGGGTCAAGCAGACCCGACTGGAGGCCTGTCTCCAGCAAAGGCCTGACAGAGACGGCTCATGGGGATCTGGATTGGACTCTGAGCTGCTGGCAGCACAAGTAAACTGAGGAAGGAGATCTGCTGCTCCTTTAGGTTGGAGAAGGAAGGTTTTAGGCTGTTACCAGTGTCACTGATCTGCAAGCTCCAGACCCACAGGGTATGTCTACACTGCAGCTAGGAGTGGGCTTCCCAGCCCAGGGAAGACAGACTCGCACTAGCCCTGTTCTAGCCGCTAAAAGTATGCTTGGAGCTCAGGGGGCGGGCAGGCTTGGAGTCAGGTGGCTAGTCCAAGCCACGGAGTGTGCTGCAACTTCCACCCTGCTATTTTTAGCACCAGCAGAGCTAGCACAAGTCAGTCTACCTGGGCAAGGGGTGCCTCTCCCAGCCACACTGTAGACTTACCCACAGAGATCCAGAGCACTCTCTCTGCAGGGTTAAAACCAGAGGCTGAGGCTGTGCACTTCACATGAGAGGCCGATGATGTTCAACTCTGTTATAGAGTTACTGGGCCAAGCCCATCCCTGGTGTATGTATCTCAAGCCAATGGAGATGCACTAGCCATTAATTTGGCCCATCGTCTCCCTTCCGAAGGGACCAGCAAAGAGGAGTTAATGGCCAGAGATGGAAATCTCTGCCCCAGGTTCCAGACTCTCAGGTGGAGCCTGGCCTGAGGGTTTTGGAAATTCAGCTGTGAGGTCAGCAGGTAGGGAGCTGTGGAGTGATGGTCTGAGATCTGCAGACAGCGCCAGCTCAATGCCACCCTCAATATTAATAATCAAAAATCAGCGCATGACTTTCACCCTGACCCTTCCTTTCTAGATCGAGAGATTGTTTCCACTCCAGAGTGTCCCAGCAACAGATCAAGGAAATGGAGATCATGTCCATTGGATAAAGCAGGGGCCCACCCACTCACCTGTCCCATAATGAGGGTGCAATTGCAGTCAGATATTGACATGTGCAATTACCTTATATTGCATGTGTAAATCAAGGCCATAATCTCACTCATAACAGTTCAGGAAGCCAGAATACAGGAATAAAACAGCTTTCAATTCCTAATGATCCTGTATTAAAAAACCCAATCCAAGTCGATGGCCGTTCATTTAAAAACTCCCTGCACCGTTGCTGGGAATAATAGCGATTGAGGGCATTTGAACCATAAAAGTTCTGATAGCTCCCATTGATGATCATTCGGTTGTACCTGCTGGAAGTCAGGTTAATGACTTGGGGTCCCAATCCTGCTGGGACCCTGAACAAACAGCAGCAATTTGCAGACACTGACCAGAGAGACAGGAAACAGAATGTACGTTCTGCGCATTCAGGGTGGTCCAAAGAACTGGGTAAAGAATCTGGCAAGCTCATCTGAATCCAGCGCAGACACAAAGGCATCCGATTGTCTGCAGAGTATCAACATTCACCCTGAGGGAGATCCTTAGCCCCAATAGGCCCCTCATTCCTGGCTGACAACTGCCTCTCCCTGACATCCATTCCCACTACCATGCGTGTGTTTTATAAGGGGCCAGCACCAAGATATTGCAATGGGTGGCGCTCTAGTCATACAACAGAGTTTCCCACCCTGACATGGAACTTCTTTAGACTCATAGACTTCAAGGTCAGAAGGGACCATTATGATCACCCAGTCCGACCTCCCGCACGACGCAGGCCACAAAGCCGTCCCAACCCCTTTCCCTTGACTCTGCTGTTGAAGTCCCCAAATCCTGTGGTTTAGAGACTTCAAGTAGCAGAGATAGTATAATCCTGTTCAATTATCTTCCCAAAATTATAGCATCATAATGATCCATCTCCCCTCTCAACACACCCACTGCATGCTAAATGGAAGAGTCCATCACACATGGGTTTTGGAGCTACAAAGATTCTCCTAAGAGTAGCTACAAATTTAGACTGCTGACAACTATCAAGAGAACGGCGCTAACCCGTGTAGCCTACTAAATGCATGCAGCAACACAAAACTCCTGAATCCCGATCCACATTTTCTAGATTATTCTAGCAGGTTTACATTTCTAGTTTGCAAAAAACGATATCGAGTGAATCGTGATCCAGCCAGATGGAGGGGTTGATCCAGATTCACTCTCTTCCCTCTGCCGGGCAAAGGCACACAACTGGCAAACGCTTTGAACGGGGATCTCGCTTTTGAACCACAGCTGGGACTGAAGATGGGTAGGAAAGCAAAGTGCATCATGTACGAAATGTCTGAACGCCCATCTATAAGGAATGTACAGAGTTGTACGCTTAATACTGGCTTAGACGCAAGGTTTTCCAGTGCTCAGGGACTCTAGGGAGTCCTGGAATGGATTCAAGTTTCAGTCACATGTAAGGCTTTGTTGACCCTGGGCCCTCCAATCACAAAGTGCTTTTATAGATCATATCGTTCGCGAGCAAACCTGGGCAGTGTTCATTTCAAGCACTGGGGTCCCAACTCAGTGCTGCCCCCTCATCCACATGTGGCCAGTTGAGGTATTGCAGCTGCAGATAAAATAGATGGCTCCAGCCGGAAGCTTATCAGTTCAGCTGGTCTTTGGATTGCAGAGCGCTGGTGAGGGCAGGTGCGCTGCTGGAATAACCATCTCCATTCCATAGCCGGGGAGTCACTCTGAGGCTAGCAGGGGCGATGGCTTGTTTGCTTTGTTACATAAACTAAGACGTTAGCATTCAGCAGCATTTGGGGACAGGGGATGTTAGGAATTTTCTGTGATCTGATTAAACACTTAAAACAAACCTCAAATCCTGGGGAGAAAGTGCAGGGTCCCGGGCCTGCCCTGGCTCTGTCAGTGAAACTCTCTCCTATCTCCCTTCTGTAACTAAGGCCTGGGAACTAGGGTAAAAATTGAATCCCAGGGCATGGAGGCCAAATCCCTACCCCAGCCAAGAGACACCCTTGGAATTTGGGGTTCCCACTGAACTGATTCCCCAGGACCCCTACCCCCAGGTTATCCCTTCACCAGACCCTATTTCTGGGGTGAAAGCATAATAAATTCTTACCGGTACGGGGGTCAGCTCCGGCCCCCAGAAGGGGCGGGGCCTCAGGTGGAAGGGGCAGGGTTGGGGGGGTCAGCCTCCCCCAGCCAGCCAATCTGCTCTGCCTGGCCCCTGCCACCTGGGGCTCCAGCTGCGATTTAAAAGGGCCCAGGGCTCCGGCCACTGCCGCGGTAGCAGCGGAGGTGGCCGGGAGCTCCGGACCCTTTTAAATCGCCGGCCCCGGGGCAGCTGTCCTTTTGCCCCGCCCTGTCGGCGGCCCGGGGTGGGCAAAAAGGGCAATGACGTTAACGTGGGCTGCATACGGGCTGGTACTGGCTTCTTACCGGTACACCGTACCGGCCCGTACCGGCTCACTTTCACCCCTGCCCTATTTGCTGCATACCGAAGCCTTGGACAACACAGATTTTCCAAAGTGCTGCGCACCTGCAACCTTAGTAGAAGTCAACAGAAACTGCTGGTGCTTAGCCCATTGTTCTGGCATGCTAACCATGCGCATTTTGACACCCCCTTAGTAACTAGAGGGTCTGTGGCAATATAAGGGATCCTCACCCAGCAGCAGGAGGAGAGCAGAGAAGAATAGACACCTTTGCATGTACAGAGCCTTTCAAAAGGATACAGAAGGAGTGAGATCGCTAAGGATACATCTAAACAGCTAAAAACCCCACAGCAGCAAGTCTCAGAGCCAGAGTCAACCGATGGGGGCTGGGGAGGCAGCTGTTTGAGCAGGGCCTGGGCTCTGAAACCCTGCAAGGGGGGAGGGTCTCAGAGCCCAGGCTCCAGCCCGCACTTGAATGTCCACACTGCTATGTTTAGCCCTGCAGCGCGAGCCGGAGTCAGTCGACCCAGGCTCTGAGACTTGCTGGCATGGGTCTCTTTGCACTGCATAGACGTACGCACCGAAATCTCTGCGTGGAAACAGGAGTGATGAAAGCCCTAGAATGGGAGCGGTTTCCTCTGGATACAGCTAAAGAGCTGTGCCCAGGGATACAGCGTGCGAATCCTCCCCACGCTACAGAGACGAGATTTAAAACGTCAATGGAAACAACTCTCCCTACGGAAACCTAGGAACGGCCCGCCCTGCTCCTTCTCTGGCAGACTGCGACACTGGCAGCTGTATTCAAAAAGGGAATTCAGCCCCAGGGCCAGTCGGTCCCCAGGCCAGAGTTAAACTTGGTCCTATGAGTAGTAACTCATCCTAGGGTGAGGCAGGCTCCCTGACTCCCTTTGCATCCCACCTCCACACTTGGGATCCCAATCAGACCCCACACTAAGATTTTATCCTGCTGCTACAGACTGGCCAAACTCAGAACCTCTTTTCCAGCCCCGCTCTCTGCCTTCAGAATGCTGTGGGCCGGGGAAACGTGATCTTAACTGCCCCTGGTTAAACCAAGCTCAGGTTCACCTTGCTCGTCTGCTGCTACAAGAACCTGCTTTCCCCGAAGTTAGTTGTACAATGGGGGCGGAGGGAGCGGGGGACTAGCCCTTTAAGGAAAAAAACCCTAAAAAAGAGCCCCGTCAGATGACAGACATGTGAGGTCTGACATCTCCTGCCTGCTCTCCTTTCTGGGCAGAATCAAGGAGCCTTGTTTAAGAAGTTGTCCCCTTAACTATCTGCCAGTGGAAGCTCGTTAGAGTGGGAAACAAACCTGGTACCTTATGCTCTTATCCCGGTGGTGTTCTCTGGTGTTAAGTGTCCATTCTGCCTATCCACCTTCATGCATCACCAGCCTCCAGTGTCCCTCCTGGAGCTAATGGCTTCTATCTAAGGGTAGCCTCTCCCCTTGAAAGCCGCCAGAGGGTCCAGCAGCCAGAACTGCAGAGACTGGGCTCCTGCTGGTTCGGGGCTCCCATCTGGACGAGGGTTTTGCAAGTTTCAAGGTTGTTCGGGACCATGTGAACAAGGCCTTAGTACAAAGACCATTGCCCTGGTCGGGTCAGTCCGCTCCGCCAGCAACCCCATTAGCTGTTCATTTTGTTACGAAACATTTGCCTAACAACCGAACACTATACAAGGTTAAAATCAGTTTAAAATAAACCTTTCGGGCTCTTCCGTCTGCGTGAGATTGTCTGGAAACGGACACCAGAGACTCCCTCCCATCAGGGGAGCGGGCCCTGGGAATGGCTTTCCGTCAGGAATCAGAGCCAAGCTCCTTGGGAAATCTGCCCCCAAGTGCCGATTTGCGTGTCCCGTGTCGTTTGGGGCTCTTATCTGGACGTCTTGGCCTCCAGCGCGTTGGGCCGGTAGAGGTACCGCCAAATGGCATAGTAGTGGATGCCCGCTCCGGTTGCCACGAAGAGGTGCCAGATGGCATGGGCAAAGGGGATGCGCCCGTCGCTCTTGAAGAACACCGTGCCCAGGCAGTAAAAAAGCCCACCAGCCATCAGCTCCAAGAGGCCATCTCGGTTCGGCTGTTCGCAAACACAAGGAAAGATAAGGGTCAGCGGTGGGGATGCTGCACTGACCCTATTGCAGTGCCCTCTCCTTCGGGCACAGCTGAGACGGAATAGCGGCACCAATGGCTGGAGTGAGAGGGCAAACAGCCCCACCGGCGTGTCACTCCCACATCAGCCATCAGGGATTCGGCCCAGTATTTCACCTTTATATGGGACCGCTCCCCCCAAAAGGAGCCTACGCTCTGAGCCCAGATTAGGGAGCCTAATTCCACTCAAAAGGGATGCTGGGATGGCCAAGGGCCACTTTGAGAGTCCAAATGCCCCGATGGAGCCATGCAAGTTTGAGAAGTGGGCGCCCCGTACAGTACACGGCAGGCATTTAATGGCAGGGAGTCACACTAGACTGGGGTGGGGAAACTTTTTGGCCCGAGGGCCACATCTGGGTATGGAAATTGTATGGCAGGCCATGAGTGCTCACGAAATTGGGAGTTGGGGTGCAGGAGGGCATGAGGGCTCTGGCTGGGGATGCGGGTTCTGGGGTGGGGCTGGGAATGAGGAGTTGGGGGTGCAGGAGGGTGCTCCGGGCTGAGACCGAGGGGTTCAGAGGGTGGGAGGGGGATCGGGGCTGGGGCAGGGGGTTGGGGCATGGGACGGGGGCAGGGGGGGCAGGCTCCAAGTGGTGCTTACCTCAAGCCGCTCCCAGAAACAGTGGCATGTCCCCACTCTGGCTCCTATGTGGAGGCGCGGCCAGGCTGCTCTGCGCGCTGCCCTGTGCGCAGGCACCGCCCCTGAAGCTCTCATTGGCTGTGGTTCCCAGCCAATAGGAGCTGTGGGGCTGGCGCTTGGGGTGGGGGTAGCATGCAGAGCTCCCTGGCTGCCCCTACGCTTAGGAGCCGGAGTGGGGATGTGCTGCTGCTTCTGGGAGCCGTGCAGAGTGGGGCAATACCCTGACCCCGCTCCCCGGTGGGAGCTTGAGGGCCGGATTAAAATGTCTGGAGGGCCAGAGGTGGCCCCCGGGGCCATAGTTTGCCCACCTCTGCACTAGAGAAATCCTTCCAGGTGTGGCCCAGGCGCTTCAGAGGACAGGGAGCAGCGCATTGAGCCGAGTCACTTACCATTGAAAAGATCACCAGGGCGGGGAAGAATCCCATGATAACGTAGCACACCAGCTCCACCAGCTTGTACCTGTGAGGGAGAAAGACAGGCTCAGTGGTGGCAGGGCACCGAGGGAAAGGTTTAATCAAATGCTTTAAAACCACAGCTTCCCTGCTCCGGGGAGGAGGCGCCACTCTTAGTGCAATGAATCATTTCTATCGCACCACACACGTCCAGTGCGTTTTGCAGATCAGGCCCTGCCCCACAGCGCCGGCCATCCACACAGACAAGGAAGACCCAGGACAGATCTCAGGAGAGGCCAGGTGAGGGGATGACTGATCAGGAGAAGACTGGGGGTAGTGCTTGAAGCTGTGTTTTGAAGAGGGATCTGGAGAGGAAATCCCTAAGGAACAAGCCAGGGTTCCCTGCAGGTCTCCCTGTAAGCATTCTAGTGAAGGTGAACTGGCATTTTCCCATGTTACCTCCCCCCCCCTCCCAGTCCTGTATTCCCCTTTCCCGCTCATCTGTAATGGTCCTCCCCCTCCCCTTGCTGGAACCGCCTTCTAGGCACTGTTGGAATTGGATCTGAGAGCTTGAGGAGGATCCTCGGCCCCCGTCATGATGATAGGCCAGGTTAAATGAGACTGAGCCCCATTACCTGTCCCCCAAGGAGGGGCTTTTCCCCTCAGAGTTCCCAGACAACTAAGCGGGTGCATTGAACCATTGTTAGAGGTGCGTCTGCCTGAGCAGGCGCAGTGAGTCCGGGTTGATGCCTGCCTGCGTGCAGAGTACGTACTTGTGGGAGTATCCTGACAACGTCTGTGTATTTGTATTGATTCAGAGACGCCATTTTTGTGTTATGGTACACAGGAGCGCCGCCAGCTTTTTTGCTGCCCTAGGCAGCGGAAGGTCCTGCCCCTGAAATGCCGCCCCCAACAGAGGCAGCGGAAGCTCCCGCCCCCGAAATGCCGCCCCCAACAGAGGTGGCGGAAGGTCCCGCCCCCGAAATGCTGCCCCCGACAGAGGCGGCGGAAGGTCCCGCCCCCGAAATGCCGCCGCCGACTGGGGCGGCCGAAGATCCAGCCGCCGCGGTCGCCATCCCCCAAATGTTAGCGCCCTAGGCGACCGCCTATGTCGCCTAATGGGTTGCGCCAGCCCTGATGGTACAGCCTACTATGTGCTAGCCAGGAGAAGGCCCAGTCCCTGCCCCAAAGAACTCACAAAGCAGGGCCCCGAGCCTGAACTGACCCCATGCGAGCAAAGCCCTGCACTCCTGCAAAGTCCCATTAAAGCTGGGTGGAGGATCAGTGTCTAGTATCTTACCATACGTATCATAAAAAGTTACATATGCAAAGTACATTCCATGGGGTAACTTTTTGCCAGGCAGGTACAGGATAATGATCCGGGGGGTTCGCTGGATAATGGTTATTTCAGGGGAAGGCTATGCATTGCCCAGCCCTGCCTCCAGGAGCCGAGTGCCTGAGCTCGCTCTGTGACAGGGAAGAAGAATGATGTTGTGATTAAAACCCAGGTCTGGGAGCCAGGACACCTGGGTACTAAATCAGTCCCTACCACTGACTCACTGTATGACCTTAACCAGGTCATTTAACTCTTCCGGGCCACAGTCGCCTTTTCTGCAAAACCACCCTCCAAAATGCAGATGTCAAGTTCTACCTCACAGAGGGTTGTCAGGCTAAGATCATGTTGACAAATATCACTCTTCACATTGCCTCCCTTACTTCTGCACTGCTGCTGGCATGGCACTGCCTTCAGAGCCGGGAGTCCGGCAGGTCACTGCTCTCCGCTCTGCCTTCAGAGCCGGGAGTCCGGCAGGCCACTGCTCTCCGCTCTGCCTTCAGAGCCGGGAGTCCGGCAGGTCACTGCTCTCCGCTCTGCCTTCAGAGCCGGGAGTCCGGCAGGCAGCCGCTACTGCTCTCCACTCTACCTTCAGAGCCGGGAGTCCGGCAGGTCACTGCTCTCCGCTCTGCCTTCAGAGCTGGGTGGCAGCTATGTACTTGTGTGTGCTGGAGGGAAGGGCGTAAATGACTACAGACACAAAGAAGGGGCAGGGCCGCCCAGAGGATTCAGGGGGGCCTGGGGCAAAGCAATTTTGGGGGCCCCTTCCATAAAAAAAGTTGCAATACTATAGAATACTATATTCTCATGGGGGCCCCTGTGGGGCCCGGGGCCTGGGGCAAATTGCCCCACTTGCCCCCCGCCCCCGGGTAGCCCTGAGAACGGGGGCCCGATCAAATAAGTTTGAGAACCACTGGTTTACAGAGTGCATCGGGAGGGGTGGATGGAGGCCCGGTAGCAACGCAAAGGGTCAGGAATATTCTAAGTGTAATAGAGCAGTTCCCTTCCTGGCGCTTCGTCCTGACTGTGTTGGGGGCCCGGCCAGGGCACTGACGCACTGCCTAGGGTTTTGTATAGTGTTCTGCAGGTACATGCTCCTTGGCCAGAAAACGGCCCTGGCTCTATTAAGAGCTCACTCTGGCTGTGAGCTTAGAAGCAGTATTTTTAGAAGACCACTTTTTGCTGTCTGCTGCCACCCAGTGGAAGAATTGTGTAACTGCCGCACACATCTTGATCAAGTTCCATTGCTGATTGAAAGCCAAACGATGGCATCTGGTGACTGGCCTGAGCCCCTGGTGGTGCAGACACTCACCACCCAAGGGGGAATGTGGGGAGGGTCTGTGGCTCAGGGAATGCACCGGGGACAGCTTCAGGGCATACTTGCCCCCTTCTTGCTGCCCACTCACGTTGAAAACAGGGCAGGGGGACTCGGAAGGGGAGGCTGGGCAGGCAGACAGACAGACAGACTGGCACAAGCTCACCGCTCATGGAAGAAGAAAACATAGATGGTTCCGATAGATGCCATGATCCAGATGATCCAGCGCATGTGGGAGGCCCAGGGACCCAACTCCCGTAGGTTCAACCTGAAAAAAAACCCATAGAGACCGAAAGATGAAAGAGCCATCACGCAGCAGAGAACAGCAGCTGGCCATGAGAAACCAACCGGGGAAGCAGCGGGTTTGAAATCTAGGCTGAGAGGAAGTCACTGATGGATGTGGGCGTGCAGGGAGGAGAGGAAGCCTCCAAAAAAAGAAAGGAAATTGAAACATACAGGAAGTTCACATTGCTGACACCATAGGGCACTGCTGTGAGGAAGCTCACATTGCTGGCACCCCAGGAAGCTCTCTCATCCTTCTATTTCTAAAATTCTAGAAGGCAGCAAAGACCCAGCAAAGCCAAAGCCCTGCCAGCCTGTCTTACAAATAAAGGACTATTTGAGGATAAATATGATGCCCAGTTTCGGAATAATCACCAGTGCTGCTGAAGGAACAGCTTTCCTCACCTTATTCTGGATAAAATCAGTCTGAGATGGCCTGCTTGTGCCGGAGGTGAGCTGGGAAGCAAATGTCCCCAGACTTTCTATGGCAGAGTTCTGAGTGAGTCTAAGGTTGATGGCCAATCTTGGGGTACTGTGTGAGCAGTGGGTGGAGAGTGCTGTGATCTAGGAAAGTGTGGTCTAATAGACTGAGCATGGGACCAGCATTGTTGCCAACTCTTGTGGTTTTATTCCTGAATCTATAATATTTCGTGTTCTTCTTAACGCCCCAGCTCCTGACGCCACGTGATTATGTGAGAATCTCAGCTTTCATTTAAAAAAATAAGTAACTTTCTGGCACTCTGGTTGTGGATGAAGCTTGAAAACCATGAACCCTAAAGGCTCAAAAGGCCTCACATTTATTATTTTTTTAAATCTCAGGATTCTTCAGGTCCTGATTCACGATTCTTGGGTTGGCAATGCCGAGACACCAGGAATTCCTGAGTTCTGGGCCAAATGCTTGCTATCCAGCCTCAGGCAAGGCAAAGGGGCTAGACTTTTCAAATCTGGGTGTCCATTTAGCTCCCGCAATCCAAACCTAGGCACCTAAATCAGTGGCCTGGCTTTTAGAGGCATTGAGTATGTACAGCCATGGACTTCGGACAGAGTTTAGCCAGGGCTAAAATGCAGGAGTGGGACTTTTGCTTCAAGATGGATTTTGAATTTTTTAAAACTTTTCATCGGGATGTAAAGTGTGAGACTATTTTCTGAATTCCTTCTCCTCCACCCCAATAGAAACCAGCCTGCTATTACACAGTGAACTCACCAGGGGGCATACGATGCTGCTATGAAGAAGTAGATCACCATCCGGTCAAACATATGCAGGCAGTGCTCCACTGTTCTAGAGCGGGGACAGACAAACACATGCAGGGAGTTATAGCATGCTGAGCCAGCCAGAGGGGAGCAAATGGATTTACTCGGGGAACTAAATAAATTCTAAGATGCAACGTGTTGATCAATGAGATGAATATAATGATTCTTAAAGACTTGATAGCATGGATGGGCACTAGATATGGTGCTGTGCAAAGCTTCTTCTGCCTCTCTGCACTTTGATGCTGACCTGCAGTATCCCTGTTCTGCTGCTAGCAGGCGTCTCCTATCACCAGAGATCGCCAATCGAGCCCAATTCTCTGGATATTTTAAGTGGTCATAGGGGATCCGGTTGAATTGACTCGGCTATCAAGTAGATACAGTACTGTGGTCGAGCCACTGCCCTCTACTGAAAAGAATCAGAACTGCTCAGCTGTGTGTCAGAGGCCCTAGGTGGTTAACCACTAACAGTTCTTGAGAAGTAGGGGCCTGTGGACGATGAGGATCTGATATCAGGCCATCTCTGAGAGGCCACATGGTGCAGAACAGAGGCAAACAGAATTCTCAAATAGCTAAGGATTTATTATAACTGACGTCCTAAACTGGGCTAGCACTTAGGTCTCCAGAGGTTCGTGAATCATCTCAGTATCTAATCCCTTCCCCAGTTTACAATGAATATTAAAATTGGTAGATTTTTTTTAATGTGGAAAACTGATTTTTTTCAGTAAAAATTCAAATATACAAATATTTTGTCTGAAAATCAAAATACTTTGATGTAGAAATTCTGCTGAGATGCGACATGGGGATTGTGATTTGGGTGTCTCTTGCTCCCATCCTTCTCTACAGGTCAGGTTCCCCAGTCAGACTATATCTCCCATGATGCACCAAGGTGTTTCCTCTTGGAAAGGAGAGACAGTACATCATAGGAACTGCTAGCCACAGTGCATCATGAGAGCTTAGCCCATAGAGGAGAATGGGGACATCAGGCAACTGATCTGCAACTCCCATAAGGCACCATAGCAGCATTTCTGAATTCAATTTTTTTTATTTTTGGCCAAAATATTTCGGTTTGGGGGCATCAGATTTTTCAATGAAAAAACTAAATTTTCTACAGAAAGAAGATACTTTTTGTGAACTATTTCATTTAGTTGAAACCCCAATTTCCCAATTGTCCAACAGACGGCAGTGGCTTGCACCCACACTAGCTAGTGGGTAGCAGAGCTAATAAACAGTTTGACGGGATCATTTTCAACTAGCCCTAATAACTGTGTGATCAGCAAGAGAGTGTGGGAAGAAGAAGGCGCACAAGTGCTGGCGTGATTAATGGGGAGGTAGAAGCCCACACAAACTGATCAGAAAAATGCTGAGGATGTGTGTGTGTGTCATTTTTAGCTCTTTGTCCTGCCCATGGAAGTCCTAATCACCTGGCTGTTTCTATCTCTGCCTTCACAGCCCTTCTCTATTTGCCCCCAGAGAACAGGGCCTGTAGTGACAAATGGCTTTGCTACCTGAGGTGTCTCTTCTTCCAGGAGATGGTGTGAAAGATGGTGGAGACAGTGAAGAGGCCAGACAAGCCAAACCCATATATCCAGGCTGAGATGGTCTCCCAATGGTCATCTGAGAGGATGTAGAGGATGGAGCTGCCCAGGATGCTGGGGATAATCCAGAACTGGAAGGGAGAAGAACTCCATTGGCTGTCTCTGGCTCATTCATTTAGAGAAGGCTTTTATAGAATAACTGTTCTATGTCATAACTATTATCCCTGATTTCCTTTCAGATGGTTCCTCATCTATGGATGAATCTGTCCAGCCCAGCTGAGGGACAGAGGCTGGGACAGGCACTGCTCTGTATTATTTACATGATTTCAGACCCCGCTTGCCACAACAGGTACACCAGTCCCCAACATCGCCGCCAGAGAAGACTGTGAGCAGAGCCCCCTCCATGGGTGGGGCTCAGGAAACTTTTGAGATTAGAGTTGTGCAGGAAGTCCCCTCCCCATATGGGACAGAGGAGGCACAGCAGGGTAGAGATCAGAGACAGCCCCTCCCAGAAAGGGCTTGGGGCATTACATGTCAGAGATAGCCCCCTCCTGCTACCCCTTCTCTCTACTCTGTGCTTAGAGATCACAGATTTCCCTTCATTCCTTTTATTTTTCATTTGCCTCATTCCCACCAAGCAGGAAGAAGAGGATCCTGTTGTAAATCTAAGAAAAGCGGCTTCCTGCCCAATTTACCCCGGGGGTCTGGGAAGGGGGATAAATAACAGAGTTTGCTTAGTCAAAACTGCTGAACAGTCTGTACCTTAGTGAGTGCCCCTGGAGGAACAGCACAACCACCAGGTCACCCATAGCCATACAAAATGCATGAGCGTCTAAGGTGTCATCTAGGGCTTTCAAAATGGGTGTTGGAAAAATGAAGCAATCTGATTGGCTCCTAGCTATGGCGTTATCACATGATAACCACACCATTTGGTCCTCCATGGCCTAGTCAATTGGCTGGTATCCATGGGCCTAACTGCTGACTAAGAAAGGGCTTCTCACAATGATTTAGAAAAAACAAGACCAATTGATATACCTGCCTAGGGCCCAAAGCTTCCCTAAGCTGTTCACATACTGCTTCCAGGGGACAGAGCATGGCCAAGTGGCTAAAGCCCAGAAGTTGCAGGGATGTGTTCAGCTCCTGTTACTCTGCTACTCAGTCACAGAACTCAAATTTGGAGAAAGCTTCTCAGGGCACCCACCCTATCTCCCCATCAATGGAGAGCAGTTCCTTACATTTCCTGGTACTGCGCCCGGTAGAGTTTTAACAATCCCATGCAATGGAGCTGCCACCACTTCTCTTGGAGAGATGACTCCATAGAGCTCAATCTCAAGGAGTCCTTCCTGATATTTAGCATCTGATAGTTGCTACTGAATGCACCGTCTGTCAGACACAACACAGCCAGCCATTCGAATGGAAACTGCCCAAAGCAAGGCTCTGTCTCCTTCATTTAGCTCCTGAGAGAGCCCCAGAGAATAGCTGCGTGGGAGAAGATACCTGGAACAGGTGTCTTTAGGTTTCTTATTCTGATGCCACCTGCAATCTGTAGGCCCTTTTCTACACCTTATTTAAGGCCCTATCCAATGGCCATTGAAGCCAATGGGAGTCTTCCCATTGGCTTCAACTGACTTTGGATCAGGCTCTAATCTCCGAATGTATTTTCAAAGTCGTGGGGAAGCATTCCCAAAAGGCAAGGGCTTCTTCACGAGAACGTGCGCTCTAAAAACCTTCCTAATATCAGATGCTGCAATTGAGTCCAGCCCTGCCTGATCCTAGCACCTCCAGAATTCTCCTGCAGCCAGTGGGAGATTTTCTTGACTCAGGGCTGTGGGATTGGACCCATAAAGCAGGCGTGGCTTAAAAACAGACTTCCAGGCTTAGAAAAATAAAGACACTCAGCCACCCGGGTGTGGGTTATAAGGTCACACCCCATCCCTCCGGTGCTGGGGACGCGAAGCCTCGTGCCTCCCCATGCACCAGAGGTGAGATAGCCTCATGTTACATGCCACGCCCTGCCACATGTTATTGCCTTACTTACCTCACTCTCAGCCAATCAGATCCTTCCATTCCCCAACAATGCCAGGCCCTCTTATCTTGCCACAACGGCCATCTCCTGCTGTGAAAAAGGAATGTTCCATTTTCACGGAGACCGTAGGGGTGTCCAGTGTGAGCAGTTCTTAGCAAAACACTTTGGTTTTCTAACCAAATAACTTCACCACATGAAGCAAAATGGGTGGGGGAGAAAAAAAAACACCTTGATGCAAGCAGGGGTCAAAGCAAGGGGGTGGACAGGGGAGTGGGTTTGCCCCACAGCTTCCCCTCCTCCTTGGCTGGCGGGATGAGAGCTCCCCATCCTGTTCCAATCGACTTGGATGCAGGGATGTATAAAGCCCAGTTATAAAAGTGTCTCAGATCCCCCATTATGTCAGCATCGGAGTCACAGCTCCTGCTTGCCGTCCGCTCATTCAAACTGCTTTCTTAGAATCCTAGAAGCATAGGGCTGGAAGGGACCTCAAGAAGTCATCAAGTCCAGATCCCTGCACTGAGGCAGGACCAAGTAAATCTAGACCATCCCTGATAGGTGTATGTCCAACCTGTTCTTAAAAACTTCCAACAATGGGGATTCCACAACCTCCCTTGGAAGCCTATTCCAGAGTTTAGCTACCCTTAGGATTAGAAAGTTTTTCCTAATATCTAACCTAAATCTCCCTTGCTGCAGATTAAACCCATTACTTCTTCAGTGGACAAGGAAAACAATTGATCACAGTCCTCTTTCTAACAGCCCTTAACATATTTGACCGTTATCAGGTCCCCCCTCAGTCTTCTTTTCTCAAGACTAAACACGCCCGTTTTTGTTTTTTTACTTTTCCTAATAGGTCAGGGTTTTAAACCTTTTATCATTTTTGTTGCTCTCCTCTGGACTCTCTCCAATTTGTCCAAATCTTTCCCAAAGTGTGGTGCCCAGAATTGGTCACAGTGCTCCAGCTGGGGCCTCACCAAGGCCAAGTAGAGCAAGACAGTTACCTCCTGTGTCTTACGTACAACGCTTCTGTTCATACACCCCAGAATGAGATTAGCCTTTTTTGCAACTGCATCACCGTGTTGACTCATATTCAATTTGTGACCCACTGTAACCCCTCAGCATACTACCATCTAGCCATCTACCATCTGGCAACCAGTTATTGCCCATTTTGTGGTTATGCATTTGAGTTTTCTTTCCTAAGTGTAGTACTTTGCACTAATCTTAATTGAATTTCATCTTGTTGAATTCAGACCAATTTTCCAATTTGTCAAGGTCCTTTTGAATTCTAATCTTGTCTTCCAAAGTGCTTGCTATCTCTCCCAGTTTGGTGCCACCTGCAAATTTGATAAGCATGCTCTCCGTTCCGTTATCTAAGTCATTAATGAAAATATTGAAGAGTACCAGACCTAGACTGACCCCTGAGGGCCCCCCTATATTCACCCTTTAAGTTCAACAGCAAACCATTGATGACTAGAGCTCCGCGTTTGTCATGGAGGTCACAGATTCTGTGACTTCCTGCGACCTCCGTGACTTCTTCAGCAGCCGGTGTGGCTAACCCTCGGGCCGCCCAAGCAGCTGGTCCCGGGGATAGCTGCTCAGGCAGCCCTGGGGACAGCCACACCAGCTGCTGCTGGAGCAGCTCCGCAGCCACTTGAGCAGCCCTGCAGCCAGCCGCACCGGCCTCTGCTCTGGTGGCCCCGGGCAGCTGGTTCCGGGGACCGCCCGAGCAATGGCCAATGCATCTGGCCCCGGGAACCACCTGAGCAGTGGTCCTGGGGGCAGCCAGAGCAGTGGCTGGCCCTGGGGATCCCCATTGGCGGTGGCCGGAGCAGCCGCTGGCCCTCCGGGGTTCTACTCTCGGCCGTGGCCGGAGCAGCCGCTGGCCCCCCGGGGTTCCACTCTCAGCGGTGGCCGGAGCAGCCGCTGGCCCCCCGGGGTTCCACTCTCGGCGGTGGCCGGAGCAGTTGCTGGCCCCCCAGGGGTTTCCCCCCCTGCCACTGGTGCTGTGGGCTCCCCCCCCCCAGCATCTCCCCCCTAAGATTCAATCAGGGGTATTTATGGTATAAATCATGGACAGATCATTGGCCGTGATTTTTTGTTTCTTGTCCGTGACTCGTCCATGACTTTTACTAAAAATACCCTTGATTAAATCGTAGCCTTATTGATAACTACTCTTTGAATATGGTCTTTCAACCAGTTGTCCACCCACCTTATAGTAAATTCATCTAGATCGCATTTCCCTCATTTGCTTATGAGATTGTGATGTGTCAAAACCCTTATCCAAAATCAAGATATATCATGTCTACTGTTTCCCCCAACCACTAGGCCAGTAACCCTGTCAAAGAAGGAAAACAGGTTGGTTTGGCATGATTTATCCTTGACAAATTCATGCTGGCTATTCCTTGTAATCATTGTATCCTCTAGGGGCTTACAAACTGATTGTTTAATAATTTGTTCTAGTATCCTGACTGCTCTGTAATTCCGGGGTTCCTCTTTGCTCCCCTTTTTAAAGCTAGATATTATGTTCCCCCTTCCCTAGCCCTCTGGGAGCTCACCCGTCCTCCCTCAGTTCTTGAAGATAATTGGTAATGGTTCTGAGATTGCATCAGCTAGTTCCCTAGTTCTTAGGATGAATTTAATCAGGCCCTGACGACGTGAATACATCTAACATATCTAAATATTCTTTAACCTGTTCTTTCCCTATGTTGGCTTGAGTTCCTTCCCCCTTGTTAATAGTAATTGTATTGAGTATCTGGTCACCATTAACCTTTTTGGTGAAAGCTGAAGTAAAATAGGCATTAAACACCTCAGCCTTAAAGTCTGCTTTTTTTTGGAGTCCATTGTCCCACTCCGCTGCTCTAACGCCTTCCTTTCCTTAGAATGGGGCAATTGATCATTTCATGATCACTTTCACCCAAACTGCCACCCAAGATTAGCTGAGTCACTTACAATGAGCCCTGACTGTTCCTTAAAAGCCACCAGAGACCAAAGGAGACGTGGCGAGCTCCTGCAAACAAGCTCCTGGCCATGTGCATGTGCAGTGACTGGGTGTCAGACTCCAGGTGTCAGCTGGGCACATCCCAGCCCTTGAGCTCCAGTCAGAAGATGCAACCCTAAATGTAATTTACATTCAACCTGTGATGGCTCCTGAACGCACGTGGAAGGGAACAGGGAGTGGAGCAAGCCCCAGCGTTGTCTTCCATTCTCGGAACACAATGGGAGCCGAGACCCATACACCTCTGTCTTCCTGCCCGACGTGCTCCCCACACCCCAAGGCAATGCGAAGGCGACTCACGGCGTGCGTGGCACAGTTCGCTGCATGCTCATACTCCGTTGGCTGGTATCTCCGGTTGGACGGGACCCTGTGATTCATAAACCTTGAACGAGAAACCGGGAGAGAAGCAGGGTCAGAGGGTGGAGTCCTGGGGCAGGGCCACAAATCATTTATTGATAATGTCGGATCAGTTACACTTGGGATTGGGTTCTGGTGGGTGCTGCGCGCTGGCGCCCTCCAGGTAACCCAATCCCAGCTCTGGGAGCATGGGGTGGAAGAGTTGCTGCTCCAATTCTAGTTCTGCCAATGCTCTGTGATGGGTTCTGCAGAGCGGCATTCATGTGCAGGCCTTGAGCTCATTGGGAGCAGCTGAGTGTATGTTCCTGCACCCCCAGATCCCACGGGGCCCCTAAGTACATCTGCCAGGCTAACTATTGTTGCCTATTGTTGCCCTAAGTCCAGGACTGGTCCCAGCAGTGTGTGAAGGGGCTGATGACTGCACCCTCTCTGCTCACACACCGCTGCACTCACCTTTCTATTCATCCTGCACCCTTCACCCCATGCAGCCATGTTGCAACAGCCCCCACTGGCCAGGGAAGCAGGAGTTGCAGGATCACCCCTGAGCTGATCTCTGATGCAGTGCACACTCCCCCCATGGCTGGCTGAGGACTCTTTAGTGTGTCAGGCAAGCAGTTTCTTGGGTGGACATGTTCCCTATGCCGGACGACCACCTCCAAGCTGGACTCCCTTCCCACGGCTACATGTGCCCACGAGATGCCACGTATGGGAGGATCCTGGGCCAACAGGCTGCTGCTATGCAAGACTCAAACTCAGCCAGCAAGAGGCCACTCCAAGGGATGCTGACACTGAGATGTAGAGAAATGGCATGTGCTAATGCTCCTAAAGCGGGAAGATCAGAAGAGGTGTCCCCTAGAATTCCTCTGGCCCTGTTGACAGCGGCTGTCTTTCCCCTACCCTAGTGACATCTTGCCACCTAGGGAAACTGAGCACAGCTCAAATATTCGCACTCAAACCCCTGAGAAGATGCACTTGTTATTTTATGAGTCATCACCCAGCTGTCAGGAAGGAAGGCCGAGCACTGAAAGACTAAAATAAAGAGGCATCGCGTGGCACCACGGGGACACGTGAGCAATACTGCCAACTGTCTGAGCTCAGGGTTGGAATGAGGCAACCAGGGGAAGAGAGAGAGAAAACTGCTTGTGCACATAAGAAAGAGCGCGTTCTGGATCTTCGCATCCCACTTGGATTCGCTGGGCCAGGGCCTATTTCTGTGTGCTAGCGCCTTCCACAGGCCTGTCTTGGAACTGCACAGCTTTCCTCTGTAGGCACAGGGTACTCTCAGCCAGGCACAAAAAACAGGGTTACAGGGTCCTAATAGCAAGGAGATAGATCCACTTCTCAAAACCACTACTTTGCCCAGCATTTTCACCATGGCTCAGGGGAGGGGAGGGCCTGACACAGAGATGGCGATAGGGGAAATTGGGGGGAGGAGGCGCTGAACTGGTGAGGGGGAATAACAGTCCTTTTCCTGTCTATATCACCTTCCATCCAAAGCACTTAATAAGTAACCATGGAACAGTTAAGCCTGACAGCACTCCAACGAGGTAGGCTTGGTGTTATGATCTTCATTTTACATGTGGAGAAACTGAGGCACTGAGCAGTGATGTTACTTGGGGGATGACTCTCAGCAAATTAACCACAGAGACAAGATGACAGCTCTGATCCCATGAGTCCCATGCGCTACACATAGGCCATTCTGCCTCTCAACGGTTAAACAGCATGTGCCATATTCTTCTCTCAGCTATTCCAGTGCAGTTCCATTGATGCCGGGGGGTGGGGGGGCGAACCTGTGGGAAAAGCAAATTTGGCCTCACCTCTGACACTCTGCCTTGAGTTGTCAGCCTTTACATGAGGCCTTTCCTCTAAAGACAGATGGGGAAGCCAGCTGCACTGCCCGCTTTCAGTGCTGCCTGTTGCAGGGCGTGGCACACCCCTTTCATGGCACGTGGATGGAAATGAAAGGACAGCTGGGGGCGGGGCATAATGGTGGCAGCCAAAAGAAGGGATGAGGGAAACCAGTTATCCTAGGACCTGCCTCCATGTTTGGCCAAGAGAAGAACAGTCCCAAGGCCTAGCTTGCCCTCACACCACAATTTCACAGCTGTGTGTCTCTGATTCTGTGTTGTGGTGCATGTCTGTGTGTGTAGTCCTGAATAAGAGGGAAAATGTCACACTTTACATTCCGCTCTATTCATTTAGATGGGGTATTGCACTAATATGCCTTTGTTTTCTGTGCTCTACCTCTGTTTCTTTCTAAGGATTCCCCCGCCTGAAGAGGCAAGCAGCCCATCTCAGTGCAAACTGCTGCTGAAGAACGACACAAACCATGCTCTCACGGACACTTTAGTTTTGATTTGCTCTCTCTTAACCTGAAGTATCGGATTGCTCTCCATGTTTGAAGAAACATAACGATTTACCTCACCAGATCTAAACCCAGATAAAGAAATAGCATTGGGGCTTGTCAGTTGCTAGGTGTATCATGCTGAACTTCAACATACAAGAGTAGACAAACTAGATGTGTATCCAGAGTGAAAAACATATCCAAGACAATGAAGGTTGGACAAAGTGTAGGGTTCATACTTGGGCATGGCCTAATCAAGGCCATATGCCCTAATCAAAGGGATTGAGCTAAAGAGTGGAGCACTTGGTTACTGTTATCTTCAGAATAAGTGCGCAAGTGCTAATGGTGTCTAAAATCCACCTCTAGTGTCACAGTCGTCTCCTTCGTCCATGGCACCACTGTGGGATGTTACACCATGTCAGGGCAATGCCCTATTAAGAACTATCATAGTCCACAGAAAACCAGAAGTAGAAAGGTCAACGTGTGCTGTTATACCTGTGCCACTGCCAATAAGGTCAATGAGGACTGCACAGGTGAAACTGAGCGTGGAATTTGACCTGCTAAGCATATCTAGAGCAAAGTATCCTATTGGGGTTTAGGCGAACTAGCCGGCTACTCTTCCCTGGCAAATACAGCACCGTTTTAAGGGCTTTTTGAGGAAGAAACAGCTGTTTGTCCTTTGCAGCAACACTTATTAGATATTGAGACACAATTGTATTATCTCTACAATATTAGATCACTATATCTGGGAATCTCCAGCAGAGAGACATGACTATGTTATTTCTGGTATATTACAGGTCAGCACACAGAGACCTACAGAACAGCATCTAAGGTACCTATTCTTCCCTAGCTGTGTACGAGTAAGCCCTGTTGAAGCCAATGGGAGTTCCTTGTCTCCTGCTAGGGCAGTGTCATGCCCCAGGATCCTATGCCTAGGAACCTGACTCTCAAGGATGCTGTGCTGAAACATAGCAGCAAAGAAGCTCCAGCACTGAGGCTCCATTGCACGGCAGCATGCGTTAGAGCACCGAGATGTAACATGTTAGGGATATCATGGTCGTCAGCGGGCGCTGAACCTTCAGCATTCAAAACCAGCACTTCAGCCCATGCCACTTGAGCCGAAGGAATCTAACTCTTCGGGTCACCTAGTAGCAGGATTTATCTTTGCTGGGGCCAGTCACTATAGGAACACACTGCCACACTAAGTGCTCAGTTGCATGTTCATTTGAGTGCAATAGCAGCACCCGAGCAGTGCTCCTGTAGGTGCTCTCAGGTGGGAAGAAGGTGGAGCCAAGACCTATGCTTTCCCCCTCCACTGGCTAGCAGAGTGGGCCAGCCATGGGGGGACACTGCACTTGCCTAAGGGGTGTAGCTGCTGGCATGTTCCCCTGGCTTGCCTGGGAGCTTGCCTCCTGGAATACCTCAGTTCTGCATCACCCAGTGCAGGCCCAATGGTAGGACTGAAAGTTCCCCCTGCTTCTTGGCAGGGGGTTAGACTAGATGACCCTAGCGGTCTCTTCTAACCCTATGATTCTACGATTCTAGTTCCTAGGTGCTGCACAAACCCGGAGGAAGACGACACCCTTCACACCCAGGCAAGAAATCCCAGGGTCTAACACAGCTGGCTCACAGCCTGGCCTCACTGCCATGGTTAGGTCTGGTTTGTATAAAAATAAAACAATGCTGAACTGACCAACCTGGATCTAACCTGTCACTGAGACTTAGGCCTGTTCTGTTCAGTCGGGGCTACTCTTGTGGGACACACATGGGTGCATTTACTACTCAGCTTCCCTGGCCCTGTTTATTAGTCTCACTAATAGGCTTTAATAAGCCCCCCGAGCCAGGCCCCAGCAAACAAAGAGACTTTGGCTCTGTTAATTCCCCGCCTGAGCCCGGATTTTGTTCACATTCCTTCCCAACATCCTGTAACAATCTCGCTCCAACAACAGGACATTATTTTACTGTACCGTTGCTAGGTAACTGTCCAGAGCCTCACTGAAACCCCATCTGGGTGCTTTTATTTCTTCCTTTCTTTCTTTTTTTTTTTTAAATCCTTTCTGCATGGCCCAGACGTTTAGGATTCTGCGGTGATGTCACAGTTTCCATGGAAACATGCACGAGAAAATTAAAAAAAACCCCAAAACCTCACTTTGTCTCTTGCCCATGCCGACTCTACTGATCATTATTATTATTATTAATAATAATAATAATAAAAGCGAGGCTGACCTCGGGGGCACGTGTCACGCCGATTCCCACAGCCCCTTGGCACGGGGGGGAGAGCGCCTTTCGAACTTGGGCAGGGAAGTAAATGTCTGGGAATGGCAGAACTGAATACCAGCATGTAAGGATATCCTCACACACACACACACACACAAATAGTGTAGTTAGGCAAGGGGACTGGATGGGTTAAGGGCCTGGGAGTGGGAGCTGGGATTTGTTGGAAATCCAACTCTGGTCAGTCTATCTAGGTTCTTATAAAAGCACCCCTCACTGTATTATCTGAGTGGCTCCTAAGAGATCAGATGTAACTTCACAATAGGCCAATGGCTTAATTTTGCCGCCTTCCTCCCCTGAGGTAGCCAGGGCTATGGTTTTGTGTATTTATTTCCCTCTCCCATCTCTTCTACTTCTCTCTCTCTCTCTTTTCCTTCTTGCCTTCCCATTTTTGACTGTGTCTAGAC